GGAGCCAAAAGGTATAAGCCGAAGAAAATATTTATAACCAGGGAGGGTAAACTTATTTCAAGCGCAGTGATGCTTCTTCGGAGCTGTTATTTCATTATTTTTGCTGATTCAGAATCAAACGACTAGTCGTTTAAAACTGAGCTGTTTGTTTTCTGGGTCTATTGAATTCACAAATTACTGATTCTTTCGGACAAAGCTTAAACCTCTTTCCAATGCTTTTAACAAGTTTAGCAATTTACCAAGAGCAATCGAGAAATATCTTATAAATATAAACCAAACACTTTATTTAGTATCAGGGAAAAAAAGTAATTCCCTCGGTATAATATCTTATCCTTCTGAGCAACGGTAACAATTGAACCATACTGACTATCATGATTACTTTCGAACTTGAGATTTTCTAGAAACTATACCTTTGAAAGTTTCACTTGCTCTGGGCCAGTCTTTCAATAAATGCTTGCTAGAATTTCAAAGTTACTACAAAAAGCGTGACCCGAAGGTGAATCCCTTCCTTCTCACGTGCACAGGGTCTTTACATAAAACATAAGGTTTTTACGATATTTTTGGAACAATTTTGCTATTATAAGATGGAAAATTTCCTATTTCTAGTAGAGAGGGCCTTCACAGGATGTCTTCATTCCGGCCAGAAATCGTACTTCCCAAAATCAAGTTATACACTGTTTTATTCTTGCACTCCGATATTCACCTTAAAAATATCCTCAACTAGTTTTTAAAAAAACCTCGATTATACTTCAGAGCCCATTGCCTAAATTTTTACCACAGCGGCGCAATTTCATCACTTGATCTCACTCAAAGGTGTCAGTTTTGAAGGCAATTTTGAAGCATTATTGGTGACGGCTAAGCAAGATCGTATATCAATTCTGCTCTTACATAACGCAGCGGAAAGGTGGTCATTTGCAAGGCAAAAATGATTCACCAAGATGTAATTACAAGGTTGAGGTCTGGTTATTAGACTTACTATTAGGTCATCCGTCTTAGGGCGTTAGCGTTATTCATTTCTAACCAAGAAAACAGATCGTAATTTATCTCAGTCATCTTAAGGCAAGTTTCAATTTACATCAGAAGTCGAAAAGGATTTTTAGATAGCTAAAAAAGAAATCCGTCAATCATATGGCATAACTAATCTTTCGTGACGCTTCACTTTAACCGCGAAGATCTTGCTTAACCCTTGAACTCCCAAGATCTGATTGTTAATTCTCCCCTCTAGCTGCTACACATTTCCTTGTAAATTAGTTATGAGAACTTGGTGCTAGATCAAGATAGCAGTTTCTACCTGATAAGTTTAAATATTCTCATTACCTGTTTGCTGAATGGATATTATTGAGAGAAGTTTCATGTTAATCACTAATGGAAGTTAAAGGATTCATAATCTAGCTGTAACAGAATCTGAATAACATGAGAGTTGTCGACCCGGTCACTTCCATGGCATCGTTCATCACTTATGAAAAATAATAGTTTTCGAATTCAGCACAGCTTTTTCCGGTTTCAGCGCACCATAGAAAATCAGTTTCTTAATCTGTCAGTCTATAACTAACAATGTTTCCTTATATATATTTAAAACCGGCAACGAATTACAACTTACCTTATCAAACACTTGATATGTAAACTCAAAATCAGCCTCAGGCCTTGCTTTAGTTATTTAGTCCCCGAACTCTTGACAAAGCATTATCCTTATTCTTTCGGCGTCGCCGGCAAACGAACGCCAAAAAATGAAAGGACAACAGTGAACTCTGAATTTATCTCAATTTTCTTTCACTGAATCCTTAAATCAAAATCAGTACTGATGGAAAAATCATTCGTTCACAGCAATTTGACATCAGTTTCACACAAGCGCTTCAACTGGGCCGAAAGTGAATGGCATAAACGGCATTTTTAGGCGTTCGACGAAAATTACTCCTTTGTACGTGCTGTTTTTCTCTTGGAGTCATCGGGTGCCTCCCACGTTAAGAACCTTTCTCATAGAGAGCTTCCGTAAAAACAAAGACAAGACAGGAAATTGGATGGAATAACACGCACGAAAGTCACCAACAAAGGGCGACATCACAATTGTAAATCAAGCATCTTAAGCTATAAAATAAGTGGTGGTTGAATGCCATGTAAAGTGGTCAACTGATGAAAGAATTAGACCTAGGATAGACGTCTACAAGAGAACAATACTGGAAAAACCTTATGTCTAACATTGCCCAAGATTTATTTTATATGCGTACGTCGTGGAACGACTGGAAATATCGCTACAAGTCGAGGAGCTCAAATCAAACAAGAATCAAATCTACAGGCGAACAGGGAAAATGTTGAAAGATTCCGATGGTTATATGGGCCTTGTACCTCGTATATCTTATTCAAGGCATTTTGGCGTCGGCGACTTCGCCTCAAATGAGAAAATTCAACAAAAAACAGAAAGGTCAGTTCCAAGCAAAATTATTTGTGCAGGAGAGAGTGTTCAGGGTCGCCAAAAGGTCACTCTGATGGGGAAAAAAGCATCCTCAGTTGAGCTGACGAGCAGAGGGATTCATTACGGAGCAAGAAAAGACGACAAAAGAGGAAAGGAATATTTATTACCGCCTTCACAAAAATTTAAAACACCTTTGAGTGCGACGTACTCTCCCCAAATAAAATTAATAACTGACAGCTCACAGAGCCTTTTGTCCAGCACTTGTACAGCGGGCAATGACTTATCATGCGAATTATCCAGAAGAGAAGCCTCCAGGGTTAAAGAACAGGTTTCTTTGAAATTTTACAGCGATAGCCAAGGAAAAAAATGGAAGTCATCAAAGGTGGAAAATATTAAAATCGGATCTTTCTCAGAAAAACCGAAGGACCAAAATCAACGAGAAAAAATTATTAACTCGTGGATGCAATTTTTCGGTTAAGAATTATAGCTGCCAGCCCCTTTTTGTAAATGAGACCAAACGACCTAACTTGAATAGAAAGAGGAAGAAACTTTTCCAACACGACGGATGTTGTCGCGCGTAAAGAAAACTCAACTTGAAAAACTGCGCTTCCTGAAGAACACTTGGTAACGGATTTGTAACTGCCATAGACTCAACTGAGAAGGACGGAAGAAGCGTATGAAATGATAATTGATCCGAAGAGAAATTTTCTGGTTGCGTGTCTAAAGTCAATTCAAGATTACGTAATACAGTAGCAGATAAGTTTCTAATGAAACTGTGGTGCTGCGTCGGTGGAAGTATTAAGGATAACTTGGTTTTATTAACTTTATTGGTAATGTAAATTGGCCACCATAAAGAGTTTCTGAAGCTGACGTTTCGAGCTTTAGCCCTTCGTCGGAGCTAATTTAGAAATATTGTGGGTTGTGCGTGGTTTACGAACAGAAAGACTGAGCTACGCTATTGTTTGGACCATGGCAACGTGAAAACACAAGAATAAATAAATTATTTAAATGAAAAGCGTTTGTTGAGATTGTATTAGTTTCACTTTACTTCACCCCGACTGTGAATGATACAGAACACTCGCACCGCTTTACAATCAATGTGGTACAAGACTAAAACCAATCGCGACTTACGTCGCCCGCGGTGTTTTCACGCGCTTGTATCTGTAACATATGCATCTAACTGAAGTTCTTATTGGATCTATCTGTGTTGGTAGTCTCTACACTTCTCTACTCGAGATAGAAATTTCATATCTAATGTGACAAAGTAAAACGTCAAAAGAGCTTGAGTAGTCAAGTAATAAATGGGAAAAACATATCATGTAATAGTTCTGATTGGCCCTCAGTTAGGGTCTATAAATCGTAACTTCTTTAGTTACATTCATTAAATCTGCAAACCAGAGTAGCGTCAAACTATGTCTGATTGTCCACCTGGTTGCCGTGTGAACTTTAATATAAGTTATTTCATGGATTTACTTTACGACAGTAAAGCGATAAATTTTTTGTACAGTGTCTTCTAGTTAGATCTTAATTTTTTTTTTTATATGTGTCCTACCATTTCAGTTTTCGTATTTTTATAAGAAGTTTTAAAGTCGTCATTTGACCCAATGGCCAACCATTTCAAGTTTAGTTCTTCACTTCTTTAATAATAAAGTCTCATCTTCTGCAAATGCTAAGAATCTTGTAATTAGCGAAAGATACCTTCGTTTGTAATGGGGATTGAAAATAAGCGTAGAGGTGTTAATGGACCATATAGCACCCCTACCCTCCACGCCCAAACTTAGTAAATATAAAAAGAGTGCATCTAAAGGCTCGAAATACCATGTTATTAGGGGGACTGAGCCCCCTGTGCTAGTGTAATAATACTAAACCGCACGGAGTCCCAACAGCATTGAGGCCGAGTGTAGCTATTTGATACGGTTATCGAACATTTGAAATGATTTGCAACACAGATGAAATGGGCTTGACTAAAGTGATCGAGAGAAATGTTCCTTAGATACTGCGGTGTATAACTTTTTATCCTTAGGTTCCGTTTTCCTGATCTGTCTTTTTCTTTCTGTGCAATACTGTGTGATTTGATGAGTTTTCGAAACAGTCGATTCCTTTTCTCCACTGACGCGTAACGCGCCTCCTCATTACCCCTTTCACTCCCATCAGTGATCAAGACAAAATTTCTTCTTACGATATCAATACAATATCCAGCAGTCAAGTGGCGAGTATGAACAAAAATGTTAATTGGGGGTTATTATTTGATCCAATACCAAATTATCTGAACTATCATCACACGAGTTGCTTGGCAGACAGTAAGGAGATCGGAGAATTAGTGATGAGATCTTAGGAGTGAATGGGTTAAATTGGTGGAGGTCATCGAAGAAAGGCCACCCCGAAAAACCCTTACATCACTTTAAACAACACAGTCGACGAGAGAAGAGCGAATGTGATTCATCTGATTGCCAGTAGAGCTTTTATCAAGTTTCAAAACAAAAAACAAATGAAAATGTAAATCAGAAGACATTGGAAACGAAATGAAGAAACACCTCTAATCCAGACCTTCACTGTCAACTTGCCTGGTTACTAAGCCAAGAAACAAGAACATGACGTGAGATCCCTAATTATAGGCCTTACTAAGAACGAGTTGGTGGAGTGTTCCCTACTGGTTTTGAAAGAGATTTTGGCTTCATATCTCCGCTTAAAGACTGTTTTCTTACCTTTTTAAGTAGTGAGATAATCAGCAGATCAAAATGTGGAAGATTTTTGGAGGAAAAAGTAAAGAGCAACCGCCAACAACTCAAGAGGCAATTCAGAAGTTACGGTCCACAGAGGAAATGTTGACGAAAAAAAGTGAATTTTTAGAAAAGAAAATCGACGGAGAAGTACAAACAGCTAGGAAATTTGCTTCAAAAAATAAGAGAGGTGAGCACAGAGTGTGTATCAGTGGCAAAGATTTTGTTTGCTTTTCTTCTTAGCGACTCGTAAGGCGTCGTCGCGTTAAATTTAAGGTTACTGACATGTTTGTATGTTTGATGACAAATTGTAGCTGCTCTGATGGCATTAAAGAGGAAGAAACGACTCGAAAAACAACTTCAGCAAATCGATGGAACGTTGTCTACGATTGAGTTTCAAAGAGAGGCGCTGGAGAACGCTAACACTAACACTGAAGTGCTTAAAAATATGTCGTATGCTGCAAAAGCATTGAAATCTGCTCATCAACAACTGTGAGTTTATTGGAAATTTACTCTCTGGGTTAAGGATGTGTTCATACCTTTTCACGTTCCAGATCTAAACAACAACTCTTCTCACTGTCTACCAAAAGTTTCTTGTGACATTTACTCGTACAATTTGGTGTATAATTGTACAATATCCTCTGAATGTTAGATTTCTTTCTCACTTAGTCGGCCCACTGCTTAATAGTGTCCATCTATTGGTAGGAGGAAATCCATTTTGGTCACTCCTGCCTGCAAGTGAGAAAATGATTCCCAGTTTTGAATTGTAGAACTGATTTGTTACCTAATTCTACTGTAAAACAACACACAGTAATATTGCAGCCAAAATAACAAACTTAACCAAGAAAGTAAAAAGTACACCTACAAAGAGGGTTATTGGGTGAGAAAACAATCACTTCACAGCGGTATCATTACAATATGATAAGCATAGGTTGGTTAGAATGGCAGGCAGGTAGTTTTGAAAGTGTAGAGAGCCCCTTGTACTAATGAAGTCACAGGGCTATTTGAAAATTTATACTCTTGCAATCACATTTTCCTACATTGTGACTTCAATTGCAATTTATATTGCATTGTTTTTCCCCTAAGTCAACCAATTTGGAAAAGGTTGAAGAGAATTGCATATATGTTGGGAGCACAATGGCATTTGTACAACGGCTACGATTAGGTAGCCAACACCTTACCAGCAGGTAGATCATCTACCCATTTCCCAGCTGCTATTGAAACCCTTGCTTCAAGTTGTATTTATGTCAAGGGTTTGTTTTTTTGCCATCATGAGGTTTCAATAACCTTGGGCTATAACTGGATGTGATGAGAGTTTTTCACTGCCGATCAAATTTCTTTTAATGAAGTTTACAAAACTTGTCTGACCTGTACACTACTACACAAGACTTTCTGTTGAGAAAAAATAGGTCAAGGATTGAGGTATTGCTTTAATAGTCTGTGAATAACTACTCCTTGTGTTTAGATAAGGTTCTTGGAGTGTTGTTTTATTAACTGTACTCTTTATAAACCTGCCCAAAAACTATATATATTTTTCAATTTTCAAACATTTTTCCCATGGATTTTTCAATTAGTAGTAAGAAGTCAATTGTCATCAGAGATACTCTGCCACACAGTGCTTCCATGTGTGACCCCATTTTCTTCACCTTCCTTTTTTTATCATTGATATTTTCTCCACCTTGGTAGTGATGTTGACGATGTGCATGAAATGATGGATGACATTCAAGAACAGACAGAACTGGCAGATGAAATATCTAGAGCCATATCAGAACCAGCAGGCTTTGGAATGGACGTTGACGAGGTAAGTACCAAACATTATGCAGGTTGTAAGATGTACATTTCTAGAAATTTTCTAATTTCTAACTCTAGTTCAAAGGTGAATTCAGGTATTCAAAATCACCATTATTGGTTTTTTTTGTTGTGTTCAAGTATCAGTGCAGATTGTCCAATGGGAAAAATTGGATTAAAAAGTGAAATAATGCAAGAATTTCAATCTATTGCAAATTGTTAAATACTTACAATGCACATGTTTAAAATTATGAGATACTTTTGCAAAGTTTCAATATAATTCATGCTGTACTTGTTTGAAATTGCACATATTATCAGATTTTTGCATCTACAGCATTTTTACAAATTCAACCCAATTAAACAGTCTAAATGCCTGTGTAAAAAACATTTACTACTCCGAGACAGATACTTACTACAACAGCGTTTAAATTGTACTTGCGTAGCAAGTTTTTCCTGATTTTATATAACAGGGTAATCAAATACCAAAATGAACTATTGAAGGCTTTGATTAAAGGCACTTGATCTACTACAAAGGCAAAAATTTCATGTAAAGCAATGACAAGAAACTCTAATTGAAGTTGCGCTGTCTGTATTAACATGTACGATGAAAAGATTGATTTTTGTGTAAATGTCCACTTTGAACTTATCTACTACTAGTACAGAAACACCTTTCTGTTGAATTGCAATATGAGGTCATATAAAGGAGGCTATTAAAATTTGCAAGAGAGGGGTGGGAAGAGGTCTCAGAAATAGTAGGAAATCATCAGTTAATTTTTGGTACAAAATAAAATGTAACAACAGATTGAGTCAATTATTACTGGTACCAGGCAGTACTGAAGGAAGTATTTTCCTGGCTTTGTAGATGAGTTGTAATTTTGACTTTACTCTGAATGTTTGTTGATGTATTTTCTCATGTAGGATGAATTACTGAATGAACTTGAAGAACTTGAACAAGAGGGACTGGATGAACAGTTGCTAGAGGTTGCTGGAACAAGTAGTCTGCCAGCAGTTCCTGAGACAGAACTACCAGCTGCCCCAGGTAGGTTCATAGCCTATGTTTTCTGTGTTCTCCATAATTATCCTCTTTGGAGAAACAGACTCGATTTTAAAGATTTTGTAATAGATCAGAGGTACATGGATACTTGATCTTGCACTATTTTAAAATTGACTCGAAAAACACAGCCCTCTTTATGGCTATGTTTCATTTTGAGTGAGAGTGCCACTGACACTATCTTAATTGTGTAGAGGTCATTTTATTGTTATTATTATTATTATTATTATTGTATTGAATTTGTTACCCTAGAGTATATTCAGTGTTCTCCTTTTCAGGGGGTAAAATTTTACACCTATAGTACTTCCTAAAATTGCTTGGAATTCTTGAAAATTTAACAGATAGGAGGATTGCTCCACCAGTTTGAAAGTTTCTTTTCCCTGTCGTGCTTAAATAAGAGAGAACACTGCAGATTACCATGCCTGATAAAGCAGAACATGTTCTTAGCAGAAGAGGGTGAAAGATGCAACACAGTGGCCTTCAGAATAACCCCTTCAATCGATAAGAGAAATAGTCAGATTTTATTTCCAGCAACTAAGATTGTCTTCTTTTACTATCAATTTCAGCCAAAGCCAAGACTAAAGCAGCAGCAGAAGAAGATGATTTAAGAGACCTTGAGGCATGGGCCTCTTAGATTCAATTGATCATTTAAACTTTTTTCATGTTTAGTCTAGGACAGTCTTGTAATCAACCCCTGCCAAAAACAACATACTGTTTGAGTTGTGGCCTCTTAGGACAGTCAGTTATTTCCTTAATCTTTTTCAGTTTGAGCACTAAATATTTAAAGCTCTTGAAATACAATTCCTGGTATGGATATAGCATGGTCAAAGTCAATATTCAATAAAATCCTCAGTACAGTGAATACTCTGTAACAAGGAACAGGTCAAAACTTGGTGAGGTATACCGAGAAAGGTCACTGATGTTAAAATATTGTGGATCAATATATGAAATGTAAATTTTTGCCACCCATTAGTAAAAATGGGTTGATACCATTCTTCAAGTTGATGGGAGAACAAGCATGTTTCTGATTTTTTTATTTGATATCAATAATGATTTTGATGGTGAGACATTTGTGATCTGTTTAACTAAATGTGAGGTTTCTTCCTCTATAAATGTTAATTGTTATTCAGTACTATGTTCTTGACTCAACAACACTGATAAACAGAATAGAAACTGACCATTATTCAGTGCCCTTTAACTACACTGGCCTCCACACATGAATGTACTCTTTACCTTTATGTGATGAGAAGAAGAATGCAAGCTTAGAAGGAGATAAAGAGTGGCTAGAACAATGATTAGGAGTATCAGTCCATCCTTATCCACTAGTGCACTGGAATAAACTACTGCTAGTTATGTTTTAAATTATTCTTAATTCCTGTATCAACTATTACTTTAAGGCTGTCCACATACTCATACATGTGGTAATGTTACACCTGTGGGAATGGAGGTGTACATCAGTTTTAAAGAGAAACAATTGTGAGGTTTTTTAGTTAGGGTGAGAAGATGGTATGAACCCAAATTAAATCATAATTTTACTTTACTAGGCAGTCTCTTAAGTTGATTATTCCAAAGAAATTGTCCTGTGCAACATGTACAGGAAACTTTTAGGTTGGTATTTTCTTCCATAATTTCTTCAATAACAACATCTGATTTTGTTGACTTAAAATGACAGCTGCATCATTTGATGCAAGTTTGTCTTATTTTGAAAACTTCTCCCTGAGAAAGTGGCAGGAATCTGGATATTAAGTTTAATTACAACAAAGTAAAGTGCCAAGTGGGATGTTAAAGTTGTGGATAATTGACGTTGTGAGGGTGTGGAGTTTCTTTAAAGTTTGTATTCTGGCCAAAAATACTTACATGCTTGATGCCAAAACAAACAAACAATTTACCAGACAAATATTGGGGAAAGTTTACTGAAAATAAATAACATTTTATTCAACAAGCTCTGAGACTTAAATAACAAACATTACTTAATTTATCAAGTAGGCAGTAATTAATTCCTAGGCCTAAAGTGTGTACCATCATTCTATCAAATACCAAAATGCTAAAAAAAGATGTTAGGCACATAAAGCAAAGTCTGATTGCCTTACCCCTTAAACTTGTATGAGTGACTGACATTTAATTTTCCCATCATTATCACCCCTGATTTAAATTTTAAGGTCATTGTCATATGCCAGCTAATGAATATCTTTAGAATATATTCTTAAGAATTTACATATCGATGGTTAATAATTAATCATTTATTTTATGCAATGATCCACATGTGCAATTTTACAGCATAATACAGATGCATAGGACCTTACATGATGAATCAGAATGTCTTTATCCTAAGAGTTAATCACTGAACTCCTAAAGACTTCCAGTATCAAACCTTGCTACTCAGTTGGCTATAACTCTGTATCCTTGTCTTTCTACAAACACAATTTGATTGTACTGAAAAAAATTGATCTACCAAAGTGAGAGGATGGGTGAGCAATAGAGGTGGAACAGGACACATTTGGGATATGATGACTCAAAGATGGAACTCGAGCAACTACAGTGTGAGGGAAAAGACCATTTTGACACTGAAATTAAGAGTTGGAAACTACCATCAGTTTTATCTAACTATATTTAAGAGATTGTCCTTAGGATTGGTAAAGTGTCTGCATATCAGATATCTCAAATCCTTGAGCTAAGGATGAAGAGAGCTAAATGTTTTTCATAAAGTGTTCTCAACAACAAGCTTTTGTGTCTCAATTTAGCCTAGGAGAAATTTTTGAGCAGAACAGTTTGGCCTCCCTGTCACGTTCCCTCTAACTAACCCTCTCAGACCCCACCCACCCGGTTCAGTTGGCGCAAGAACGTACCCACAGATAGGCTATCAGCTAACTACGTTACATAGATAAGAATTATTTTATTACCTAAATTAACACTAGAAACATTAGAAAAAATTAAAGAACCGATCATTGTTCAGGTCTTTTTCAAAAGACTAGCTGCAGCATCATCAACAAACCAGTGCAGTTCACCACAAGCTGGCTTCACCCTTGCAGCTGGAAGCAGCTCTGCGGTGTCGCCCTCCAACACTTGCTGAAGAACACTGGCCTTGCTAGCTCCTGTACTCACAAACACTGCACACTTGGTCGCATTTATGATTGGATACGTAAGCGTGATCCGACAGGGAGGCGGCTTAGGTGAATCAGAAATCGGTGCTACAAGGCGAGATGTTTCTTCAAGCAAAGCATGGGCAGGGAAGAGAGAACAGGTGTGCCCATCTGGCCCCATTCCCAACAGCAGCATGTCGAGGGACGGGAGGTCATTGCCAGAGTACCAGCTCTTCAGACGAGATTCATAGTCTTTCGCGGCCTCATCCAATGCAATATCAGGATTGATGATTAACACCTCTCCTACAGAAGCTTTATCTAAAAAGTGTTGCTTTACTGCTTGATAATTGCTGTCAGGGTCTGATATTGGCACGTACCGCTCGTCGCAAAAGAACACTCGCCACTTCGAGAAGTCGATCTTTTGCGATAACAGACCGGGGGAAACGATCTTCGGTAGACTTCCACCTGAAAAACCGACCGTAAAAAATCCATGATCTTTGATAGCTTCTGATGACTTTTGGGCGATCAGGGAACAAACCTCACGCCTCAAATCCGCTTCGTTTGCAAAGCAATGTCTAGCTGCCATGTTTGAGAGGAACTAGTGCATCACGGTCAGGGGAGGGGTGGAGTCACGAGTTGCGCGTGAGTGCTTCGCGACGCGGACACTGGAAGAGGAAAAAAACAAAAGCGGCGAGTGTATTGAAACACAAAATTTTGCATCAAGAAAAGGAAGCCTTAAATGTAGCTGAAAAAGCGAAGAGATCTTTCTCAAATTAGGAAATTCAGTTGAGCTCCAACTTACAAGCTGAATCAACCCGACTAAGGCCTCGAATGTATCAAGGAAAGGTACATTTTTTCTTGGGGAGGGGGGAGGGGGGCTGGGGAATTTTGGTATTTTTTTTCCTCAAAAAGTGTTGGCCCTCCTTTGCGTTTTAATAAAAAACCCCTGACCCTGAAGATTTTGACTTCTATTGTGCAGGACAGTAAAAACAACATTCAGCAAGCCTCTGACTCAAATTCAGAGTCCGACAGTGACAGGCTAGAGCGCATTGTTGGATCTAGTAGTAACCGGTAACTCTTCAGAACTAAATGACTCAGGAGATCAGGCAGTGGATAGTCAACGGGTCTAAAAAGCTGAAGAAACGATACCTGAGTCTAGTACGTCTCGATACGGACGGAAAAGGACACAAGTCCTCCGAGAAAACTATGTGCCATGGCATAATATACATGTAGAAATGTAACCTAGAACTTATAATAACACTCGAAATTAAATCAAAGTGGGTGAAGAGAAAAACTTAATCTGTAAGAAAAATGGAAAGCAACATAAAAAAATCCTCATTAACATATTCTGGGAAAGGTGTGCAACCCTCCCCTTGAATAACTTACAAAGAGGTATGACCCTCCTCTTTTGGTGCTCACTTTCAATGACCCTCTATGTATGACCCTCTCCGCTGAGGCCCCAGCCCTCCCCCCCCCCCCAAAAAAAAAAACGTACCTTCCCTAAAAGGAGAATTTATTAAATTGGTTTTAGTCTGCTTTGCTCTCGAGTAGGGAAAACAAGTGCTTTCTCGACATGGATCGAAAATTTTGGTCAAAGATGGATTGAGACGAGACGCGGAAGAGATAGGGTGTGTCTCGGGTGTGTCACGCCCTAGCCCCTTCTCGTCCTGATAAATTCATTCACCATCCCAGGGGCGAAGCCAAAGGGGTCCTGGGGAGCCCACCAATTCCCCCTCCCCTTCACCCTAAATGAGATTTTGTCCTTTTTAAAGTCAGTATCATACAAATCTTATGATTTAGGCGCGCGAAAACTTGCACATCTTCGTGGCATTAATATTTTCCGAAGTAAGACACTGCATTAATTTAGAGGTCCGTATTTCCGCAGGAATACAAACCCGCTGATACACATTGTAGAGGGGAAGTATGAGCAATTTCACCTGGGGTACGTAAAGCGTCGAAGGCGAGACCCCCCCCCCCTTCCCTCCTCCCCTCCACCCCCCTTCCCCCTTTTTGTGTTCTCGTCGACTACTGGCAGTGTGGGAATTTCTCACCCGAATTCGCGTATATGCGTGCCGTGTATGATACCCCTGAATGCCATCTGCTACCATGTCTCCCCTGCCTTCTGTGTATGCGTTATCCTTGATCTGGCAGACGCTTCAGCATTTTTTTCCAACATAATCATAATGGTTACCAATGAATTGTTTTCTCAAAATCCTGGCGGAGGTTCAATGAACATGGGTAGTTTTATTCGGAAGTGAACGAAAGATGCTTTTGAGACCTTTTTCAGGAGCCAGTATTACCTTTGCCAATATTACCTTAGCGAATAAAATGGACTGATGAAATTATCAAATCCGAATTACTAGTTGCTTTGACACCGTTTACTGTGACAGACTGAATCAAATTGGTGAGTAATCCACGGTTTTTCAGGTATTGGGAAGGTTACCCTAAGATATAAAGATTTGTTGAGTAACATCTCCCGCATTTTACCGACTCGGTGTGGAAATTTGTTAATGATAGCCTCCACGCATAGTGGTAAGGGATGTATAGGGAGATTACACTCGAAAATGTGTAAGATTTCCGTGATAGCAGGCGAACATTTTAAGCCTCTTAGCTTTCAATATCAGAACGTTCCTTGCAGTGATGGTAATGGTACTATGGTAACCTTAGTAGCGAAGACATTGAAAATTTTACACTAGTTCCGCAAAACTGTCGGCATATATTCTGAAGATTATACCAGAGTAAACATCCCGTTAGTTTTGGTAAGTGATGTTCAATGTCCTTAAAAGTACTTGTTTTTGATGGCATTGGTTGCGAAGGATAAATTTATGTGTCTTCGAAACCGAGTCTTATTCCTAAATTTCTCCCAATGGTACACGCCGGGCAAAAAAAGAGATCAAAACAGCACTAGTTTCACTGAATCTGGAATATACAATTATTCAATAAGAATATGACGTCGATTTGGAGTCGCAACTGAACTAATGTTCGTTCCTTACAAGCGACTAGTTATGGTGGTTTAAAGGGAAAGCTTACACCAGTTTGGCCTAATGCCCACTTCTTTGAGAAAAACATCTGATCCGCTTTACTGATATTTCAAAAACAATTTTTAATCTAGTTACGTTTAGAAAGACTAAATATACTTTGTTTTCTTATTTTTAAGCTAAAAATGAATAATGTTTTTCCGTTTCCTTTTAACTTTTCTTTTTCATTTTTTTTCCTGCGCTTAGATTTTTATTTCACCCAATTCACCTCACGAAAAATCGTTTAGCGAGACAATTTTACGTTCTCGTGGAGTGAAGCTGTGAACTTTTGGAAAAATATTTTATTCTCTGTCATACAACCATAGGTCCAGCCGAAAATAATCGTTCACTTGTCAAGGACAAGAAAAAAAAAACCTTATCGAACGTGTCAGGTGAGCCGGAAATACAACAGTGCTTGTTAAGTTTTAAAGTCTATTTTCACTTTCCTATTTGTTTAGCTAAGATAATAAGTTTTTAGACCAGGTTGTCATGAACGTTTACCAATCCTAACAACATTATAGACCGTCCAGTCCTTTCCAAAGCGTTGCTAACCAACGCGGCCGGGCAGGATGGGTGCGAGAAATGATAATAGCTTGGGATAAAGTCCCTTCTCCTCCGACTAGAGAAATGAGAGGGTCATTCAAAGTGTTGGTGGAAATCATGTGCAACCAAGTACACTTCGTTATTCACGTTCACGAGTGATGTTGGAAAGTTTTCATAATAACTCGAGCCTTTCAAAACATCATGAGCCAACCATGGATTAAAAACTGCCCGAGCATTACGTGCAATTTTTGGTTTACATATTTACTATGAACAAAATCACTTCGATCGCAAATTTGTAGGTAGTCGAGGTACATTACTCGAAACAATGACTTTTAAAACTTTGGAAAATCATTTCTATCCTGTTGCAATAAAATAAAGTTAGAAGCTAATAGGCGTTTTAGGTTCGGTCAGACCTAGAACCTATTGTTATCTTTGACGTCACCGGGAGTGGCCGCAATGCCGAGGTCGAGAACACTTGCTACTGAGCACCTACCATTTCCCAGTGATGCTTAAGGGAATGTGGCGGACGGAGTGTCTTCATGCACGGCATGAAATTATAGATTTACGAATACGTAAAGATGCCGTAAAGTAAGCGTTAAGATCCTCTTTACGCGTCTTTACGAACTTCTCTACACTTTCGTAAAGAATGTCTTTACGCATATGGTGTACTCTAAGGACAATAGCTATCTACAACAGGATTTTAAAGCTCCCTCGCCTCCGTTTCACCTTGGGGGGGGGGGAGAGGGTGTGGCTACACGTAGATTTCTGTAGAGACTGAGAATAAACTAACTAGGTCACAAACCTGAGTATGAGAATTTACCAACATTCAAGTGCCAACTGACTGGAAAAAAAGTAACACAAGGAACAGAGAACAATTTCCTTCCCCTTGAATAAGAAGTCATCACATTATTATGACTGTTTTGTTAAGAGAGGTCTTTGATATCTTAAGACACGTTGGACACAGGGATAGTTTGGCTGGTTCGATCAGAAGGCAAATACGAGGACAATCAGCTGCGTTTTCTATCGAGTTTAGTCCTCATCAAACCCATAAGGGCATAAGTTGAGTGACAGGTGAAATACATCTGAGACATTGAAGAGGCGTTAGACTCCTATCCCAGCTAGACGTTACTAACAAACGACACCGAATTTGAATGCTCGATTTAATAAATAATTCAGCCTGAGGTCGCACAGTTTTGCAAGTTGAATATATCAAACACAGCCCATTTAAATGTTGTTGTAAGGAAATGGGGGTAGTCGGTGTATTTCTTGGAATGCACACGCTGGAGTAGTCTTCGTATTTAAGGAAACATCTGTTAACTAAATGTTTTTCATTTCAAAGTCACTTGGTACTAAAAGATTCCCAGGAGCATCCAGCCCGTATTTAAGCCAGGCAGCTAAATCTTTGACGATTAGATTTTCATTCGAACTTCCAATTTAGTTTTCAAAATAATAAAAATATAGACATTTTCACTTATTCTTGATTTACTAGAATATCCATTAAGACACATTTGTGCAGTTGGGTTGAGGTACTGATATTCTCAGAGTTCCTATCGTAACATCCATGCAGCTTATATAACTTTTGCTGTCTAGGTCGTCCTTGTCAAATTCGCCGGGCAGATAATACTCAAACGTGCTAAACCATCTTTAAAATTTAGCCTGCCAGTGATATGGAGGATCAATCTTTATGAATTCGTTCACATCAAACAACTCATTTGCAAAGAGACATCAAAGTCTAAATGGTCTAGAATCGCGGCCTCGGATAGACTTCTTTTTAACAATCTTTCTCTGAAATGTTTAAGCTCTCAAGAAAAACAATTACATTTTTTTTCAGGTTTTTTTTCTTTCTTTTTAATCTTAATTTTGCTTCTACTTAGAATCAAAAAGTGATTGCTCAATGTTGGTTTTTACGTATTCTGGCCTCATTTTGTCACGCGCTGTTTCATTTTCAGGCGTTTTAACTTTCGGTTTCCTCTGATTAAACAAGTTCGTGACTCGATGGTTATTATTTTACATGTAACCCAGGTAACTGCCGAGAGTCTGCCGAAATGCTAATTTTACATAGCAACATCTACCTCTGGAGAAAGTCGATTAGAGAGCAAACAGAGCAAATTGAAAGTAATTAGCACACAGCGTAGTTAGCGGTTTGTTTCGTTGTTTTGGCTTTGATCTCGCCTGGCAAAGAGAAGTAAGAGGATAACTGTTTTGAATAGAAAAACACGTATCGAAAGAGAAGTGTGCTACCGCTTCCGGTCTGTCGCTTATTTAGATTAGGGGGGTTCGCCCCTGACGTATATCACAGCGGAAGCATGTAAGAAAGTGCTTGCGAAGCTGAAAGCAGTCATGTTTGTTACTACAGTTTAATACAATTTTTGTCGTCTTGCCACAGGGAAACAGACGCTAAAGGCTCAAAATTGACATGGTAGTGATCATTAAGATGAAGGGTCTTCCTTGGGAGGCTACGGCCCGAGAAATTAGGCAATTTTACCGAGGGTTGGAAATAAGCGAGGATGATATTCATTTAGCTCCAAGTCAAGAAGGGAAGGCATCTGGATTTGCATTTGCATGCTTCAAAAAGGATGATGAGGCGAGGAAGGCTATGTACAGGAATGGAAATTACGTTGGAAAACGATACATAGAGCTCGTTCTAAGCAGCCAATCGGAAATGGATAAGATTTTGAGTGAGGGCGTACGATTTCGCCGATTTGAAGGAGAGCGACCGCCTATGAAAGACATCAAATCCCAGACCGAAATTAAATTGAGGTCGAATGGTGTGAAAGAGAGTTCAAGGAGTAGCCGAGATACTCCTCGGCGATCAAGGAGTCGAAGTCCAATTCGAAAAAACAGTAGTGTTGATGGTTCTAAAAGTCAGAGGGACCATGGTGCTTCGAACCATGTGAATGAGCGACGCGAAGCCAAGAAGTTCAGTGAACGTAGTAGTTTGCGAATCGTAAACGGGAGAGGTGTTAATGGACTGTCAACAAAACGAGACGAACAAGACCGGAGGGGACGGGATAAGGAAAAGAGGAGGGATCTTGTCAAAAATGTTAATCGACGACGTTCACGAAGTTACAGCAGAGATAGGGAGGGAAAGGGAACCCGACGTGAGACCTCTTTTGCCAATGGAACGCGTGAAGAAACGAATGGTTTTATAAGTATTCCCATGAGCAGATTAAATCGAGGTCGCCATGACTCAACCAGTCGGGATGGTTTAAAATCCACGTGGGTTCATATTACTTCTCTACCTTACAGTGTTACTGAAGATGAAATCGTCCAGTTTTTCTCAGGGCTGAATGTGCTGCATGTTCATCTCATGTCCCACGCATCTGGACCATATGCTGGTAAAAATAATGGAGAGGCGTATGTGGAGTTTAGGACAGTTGGAGACCGTATTCAAGGAGAAGACAGAAACCGTCAGTTTATAAAAAGTAGATTTGTGGGTGTAAGACAATGCAGTGTGGAAGATGTGTTGGCTGCCTTGGAGAACAGAGATGCTTGGACACTCCAGGAACCAGCTGTAGCTAGGCCCAGCTTCTCTCCGGAGAGTACAATGTATTCTGTTGGGAACTTGAACAGGAAGAGTCAAAATCTTTCAGCTGCTGACATGGGTATGGCTAATGTTGTAATGAATTCTCCAGGAAAGATACCTGTTCCTACCAATGAAGTTGGTGGCATGGAGGGGCAAGTAAATCCTCTGAACCAGCTTGCTGCAGGGGCAAATATAAGTATGAATGATATCCAAGCAGGTTGTGTGATTGGTATGCGTAATTTGCCCTCCACTGTTTCTGCTGAGGAGATTTTGGATTTCTTTTATGGGTTTCCAATTATTCCAGACTCCATTCGTATTCATTACCTTGCTCCTGGGCGATCATCTGGGGATGCCATGGTTACATTACCAACAAGAGGGGAGGCTCACAGTGCGATTAAACAGCTGAACAACAAACCTGTTGGAAAGCGAAAAGTTCAACTATTTTTGGTCTAAAAGAGAGGACGATGTTTTGAAGGATATTTTAGGAGGGATCATGTACAGATGTATTTTCTTAAATTTCTAACATTTAGTATAGTTTGTAATTCATATAACACCTAGAGGGTTTTAAAAGCAGAAGTAGGAACATTTTCTCTGGATGCCTCTTAATATTGGTATGACTTTAAAAGTTTGGGTAGTATGAAATAATTTGATGTTGGTCATGATATGAATAGTCAGTATATTGTACCTGATTGGAATAGCTTGTCTAGGAAAGTTTATTTCTATGGAAAAAATCTTATATTAATATGAAATTTTGGTTGAGGTAGTTTTGATATACTTTTTTTATTTTTAAGTGATATAAATAACCAAAAATCATTTTATCAGCTAAATCTTGTACAACGGATCACTGGAACACATTCTAATGCATCTGGTAGTGGTACACAATTTGCATGATCAGGATCAGGGGCTTGTTTGCTACTCAAGTTCAAAATCTATTGGCTTGAAAATGAGCTTTGGGAGTTATTACATATGAAGTTGGATCAGACCTTACTCAGTCAATTATTTACCAAGTTCAAGTAATCTGGATTTTTTGGTAGTGTATAGGGCATGAATGTTTTTGGCAGCACTCTCATGGAAAGAGGATTTATTCAGGAACTCTTCATTTTTGTATTATGTGAGTTAACAATATGTTTATTGGGAACTGTATTTTACTTGGACATTTATCCAAGTTTGGTCAGTATTCTGCACAGTTTGGGTGGAATTTTTACTCTGACATGGGCAAGGGTTAGAGTTTTCTGGCTTTATGTGGAGACAAATTTTTTAGAAAGGCAAGCAATCCACATGGTTTCTCAAAATGTTACTCCATTTTTTAGGTTTGTGGAAAAGCAACCAGTTTAGGAGTTACGTGTTTGACCGTTTTGTAATGACCTTTTTTGTATCAAGGCGAAGTTTTTTATTAAAATTTCAACTAGCGACTGAATGATCTCTAGCCCGCTAGTAGTGATGCAAATCAAATCTACTTCGATAAGAATTTTCTCGAGAAAGTATGTACTCTTCTTGTTATGCATCAGTGAACTTTGCGATTTGTGATTGTTGTTTACATTTGCATTAGAAGATTTACTGACGGTTTCATTTGGTTGACAAAGCTCGAGGCAATTCAACAGTGCAGATTTTCTGCCAAATCATCTTACGAACAAAAGTGGTTGGCGACATTTTTCGCTGGCGACAGTGGTGGGTTTTGGCAGCAGGCATTGTTTTGGAGCTTATTCTGTCTATTTTTAACTCACATGAGTGTCACGCAAGGCAAGAGCAGCTGGCACGCAATTTTCACATTTGTTTTGAGTCATTGGGCATGGGTGCCTTTCAATTCAGAGATCGTTCGCCAAGCATGAAACGCCCGTGTGTTGGTGGGTTTTTCGATGGTTTGGTTTGTTTGTTTGTTTTTTGTAACACAATCCGCTTAAAAGCACAGGTAGGGAACATAAAGCAGCGCTTGAGAACTTACTTTAGTCATCTGTGGAATTCAGGTTAGACAACAAGGTGACAGGCAACAAATTCTAAAAGAGGTAATGCGCGTCTGACGGCATTCAAAATGTAAGAGCAAATGAATTCTGCTAAATAAACATCAGACTCGACTCCTCATAAATAAAGTTCAATGCTCAATGAACAATAATGCAAGTTTCAGAATTCAGACAAGGGATTTGGTTAGTGACTGAGCCTGTTCCAAAGTAGTGTCTTTCCTTAACCAATGACAACAAACAATTTTAGTTGAGTCTGAGCATGTTCCTCTCAACAACAAAGTAAAAAGATTTTCCTTAATGTTCGTTGTCTTAGGCCCTAAATGTGGTAAAACTTATTCGAACGAACGGAAGTGTAAGTAGTGGTGAACATTGCCATTTGTTCGGTAGATAAACATTCTGTAGAGCGAATTTCAGGCCTTTTAGAGCACTTCGAGGCCATGAACTAAATTTAGAAATTTATTTACTACTTCAAACACGGACAAATTGGATTCTGACAAATGGCCCTATTTGATTATAGAAGGGGGTTCCCCTTATTTCCATTTGGCCGGAAAGTGAATCTGTCGAAGCCGAAAGGTCTTGAACTTGTCATGTTACAGCTGTTAGCTTGTCTATGGTCTGACAATAATCATCACAAAACGGCAATATTTAAAAAGTTGAATCGAAATGAAACTGAAAGGAAACAAATAGAAAAAGAAAAGACAAACCGGTTTGGGCTAAGCATTGTATTAAGTCTCGCACTGCTGCAACCAACTAAAAATTTCTGACTTGTTTCAGTCCGAAATAACTCGGTTACTAATCTGGGCGGCTATTAATGCATTCAGATATGCTCTAAAAACTAGAAATAACCAGTGGATTTAAACTTATCCGCGCTCCTCTACGAATGGGATAAAAGACTTAAATAACCTCTGCATGTGGTTCGGTATGTTAAGCGAATAACGCCATGCGATCACAGATTGCATCATTTCGTATTATACTTGAGCTTACGTTTCATACCGAGACGTAAGGTCACATAAGCCTAGCAGACTTTAGTCCACTTTATTTCGATAGGATGCATATTTACAGCCAAAGACTATAGTCTCCCTTATGGTCCTGTGAAATAACACAGTAAAGATCACACGATTAAAAAAAGAATACCAAACTTTGAAGCAAATTAAATAACTTAAATATTCTATCAATTTCGAAGCTGTCAGGCGTGAATTTCCTCGAAACAAACTCAAAGTAACTTCGTTTAAACTTATTCACATAGGAAAAGCAGACTAACTCATTTACGTTGTTTCACAGTTTGACGGTATTGTATAAAAACATTCGCTTCATATTGGGTAAAACTAAGGGAGAGGAAAATAATGGTAGAACTGGCTGCAAAGTGAGACAATGAATGAAAAATTAATTTTAAGTTATATCGTGCGTTCACCAACAACCCGATCCGGAATTTTGGAACAAAAGAGTTGAAGAGAGAAAAGCTCGATAAATTGAGTGAAACGAGTAGCGTCCGAGAGCCAACTATCACCCTTTTAAAAATTGTTATCATAAAATTGGTCATATACACTTCAATTAACATAACGATCTCACTTTTTCAGATTACCTCGCATGTTTGAGGAGAAGAGAAGAAGTTTTATATATTGTTTAATATACTGTAAAGTTTCCAAAACATCACAAAGATATCGTAGTTGAGTTGGCGGCCCATGCAATCTATATAAATCGATTAGGTAAAGAAGAAACATGCTCTGCATGTATAACAGGCTAAGTAGGGTATTTAAAAGTTTTCCACCGTCAATTATCAAAGCACTTACTTACTTCCGTGTGAGAGTGGACGAAGCGTAACAAAACTTCGATGTGAGGTTTAAATTAAGGTGACAATATCTTTTTTTTAATACAAAACTTTCGTGAAAACAAAAAATAAATACAAAAAAATATAAATTCATAAATAAATGATTCAAACAATGTTAATATGTTCATATGATAATATATGACCTTAGCAACCCCCTGGGTTTAGCCAAATGAGAGTGAAAAATATTGCGAAGTAGAATCAATCATCCAAGAGAAAAAAAAAAGTCTTGGAAGTTACCCATTCTTCGCGAGAAGACGTGACGGCGTAAGTTTTAACGTAATAGCATGCATTAAACTTTGTCCATGGCTGGTTCTTAATACATTTAAAAAATGAATAAATAAATATATATCTAATACCGAAATCACTCTAATAAGCCTCTCTCTCCTCAGTCATAAGCCTTATGTCTCTTCCTCCTATCTAATAGAAGCTGTTCATTTAGGCTAGGTTACGTTTTAGAATAAAGTTGTCTTGTCAGTTTCTGTTTTATTCAAAGTAGCTTTTCTTAACAGAGAAATGCAGTACTCGATATTAATCGAGGCTAACTATAGGTCAGAGGAAAAGTAACGACTCGCAGTTCGGCTCCATGAGTTAGTTCTTGGTGAGCCCTGCTTCTCTCTCTCTCTCTCTCTCCGTCACTCTGAAAAGCTCCCTATCTAAAAGCCCTGGAAATTAACAAGCCCTCAGCAGAGGTTTAGTAGAGCCTTAACGACAAATACAGGGTTCAAAATTATGTCTCTCAAAGACTGATGCTTTGTTCTTGCTTTGTTTATTACATTGACAATCCTCTCTCAGCCAATGCACGTGCTTTTTTCTGTTCAGCCAATAGGAAGAGTCTGTCATTCGAAATCGCTAGTATCCTCGTCACCATCTACACCTCTGTCACTCCTCCCCGTTCTGTTTAAAGACTGTTGCGATCCCATCGAGCCTTGAGAGCTGAATCGGTTTAGCGAGGTCTGAGAACCACTTTTCGCCACATCCAGGGTAGAGGGAAATGATGCAGGGTGAAGGTCATTCTGGAATGCCTATGGACAAGTGGAGACAACGAGAGTTTATCATAGCCAGGGGTGGATGTAGGAATTTTTGAAAGGGGGGTCCTTAACTTTCATTTAAATATTTTTTCACTATGGCTTCAATAAAATATCATTTCAAAATAACTTACGATTTAAATACTTCATATCGAGTAGTAACATAAATCCTGTCACTGCACTACTTTGATGTCAGACAAGTGTTAATAAACCCCAAAAGTCTGATGGTGGGGAGGATCAGACCCCCTTGCACCCTCCCCCCCCCCCTGATTTACCTCTGATAACCAAGAGTTGAATACAAAAAGAACTTATCAGACTCTGCAAAGTGTAGAAATGCAAAAATTTAACAATCCCCTTAAGAGCATGATGGGTAATCAGGACAAAAGAGAACAAAATTCAAAAAATAAAAATTATATGAAATTCACTTTGTGTTTTTGTTTAATTTGATCATAATGTGACAATAATTCTGGGAACAGCTAATAAACAAGTACAAAAAATTTCTCTAGGCAGGAAAATCTCCTTTGCCAGCAGGGCTCCTTTTTCCTCATTTTGATTATTTTAAGCCTTGTAAACAGTTTTGTATGGGAACTTGAAGGTTATAAATAACCATTCATTAAAGGAGAACCCTTCTCCCCTCAAAACACCATGATGGAACAATCAAGCAATGGGTAGTTGAGAAAAAAAGACAGGGAAAAAGTCCTGTTGACCATAACTTTTCAACATTCAATTTGTATGGTGAGTAACAATTGCCTTGTTGCTCCAAAAGTGTCAACCAATTTGATGGTTTTTGTAAAGAGAAACATGTATGAGAAAACAGCTTTGTTTCCCACTGGCCCACACAATGAGCCAATAGTCCACTTTGCAGTTACATGCTTGGTTGCCAAGCCTTTGAACAGGAGTGAGGCTAAGGGTGACCTTGTTATGATACAAACTTTACCGCTTTTCAAATGCAGGTGACTTTGTTATCATGCTAACAAGATACTGGTCTTTATCACAACATGGTCAACTTCAACCTCACTCCAAATCAAAGGCTTGGCAACTAAGAGCACAACTGTAAAATGGCCCATTCATTTTTTTCTCACACACATACATGCATACTGAAGTACTAAATTAACAATACCTCTATGTCTTGCTCCTCATCCAGGGAACCCAGCCTTTGAAATGCAGTTGTATAGAGCTCCAGTGCTTTTGCATGAAACAACATTTGACCATGAAAAAAGTTGCTAAATACCAACTGTAAAAGTAAAGATACCATAATTTATCAAATTACATTTATTTCTTGAGTTTATCAGGCTTACTTGTTTGATTCAGCTCATTAACCCTTTCACTCCTAAGATTTCTTTAGTAATTCTCTTTACTGTTAACGTTTGCGATACAATTCTCATGATGCTAATTTAAAAAATCTGGTATTATTTCAAGTAATAATCCTTAACTGATATTTTTTCTTTATTCTCAAAAGTTGTCCCCTTAATAATACATTAATATTGTAAGGAGAAGTTCTGTCTTGGTCACTCATGGGAGTGAGAGGATTAAGCAGATGCTAATCAGAGAACTCAGCCTAATATTGGGGGAATAGAAGATATGATACTTTATTCCAGACCTAAAAATAGACATTCATTTTCTATGATTTTGACTAACTAACTTGTCCTTCAACACCGTTACAACCAGCATACACTCTCACCCTGATATCTTCAATCTTCTTTCTTTCAAATTCCACCATTTGTTCTTCCAGTGTCTGTCTTGATCGGTTAGCATCAACAGTTAACTTTTGCAGGTCCTGCTCAGCCTGGAATGTAAAAATTTACAGAATTATTTAACTGGAAAAAACTGATGTTTTTGTATCAGCAAGCATTATGAAGTCTACTCTTAATTCTTCAAGAGAGCCGTAAGAAATAGAACATTTTCCTTTGAAATACCACCATAAATGAAGCCTTCATCCCCTAGAATTGAAGTTGCCACCCACCTGTGACTGTTTAACAGTTAAGAATAATATTCTCACTGAACAATATGCAATAAAACTGCAGTATGTATTCAATATGTAACAAATTTATGTCCCTAATAGGATCCATTCAAGTCTAGCTATTGAACAAGAATCCTTGAAATTGCCCTAAAGAGGATTCAAGGATACAATTTTTCCCTTGTTCTTTGGTTCTTTGACCCTAAGTTTATCCACTGCTTTGCGTTTTATTGATTCTTTTTCTCTAGTGACAGCCAGTTCCTTGACATATTCTCTGGCATGTTTGACATTTGTGGCATTCAAGGACAATGGGGGAGAAACCTTTGCTTGTATGAAGTCTACCTGTAAAAAGGAAATTTTTATCATTGAAATTTTTTGGAACAAGATGGGAAGGGGGGCTGGGGGGAGGCATAAAAATTGTGGCAAGCATGAAATCTTAACATACAAACACCAACAGTTCTCTAAAATAAGTCCACCATAACTAACAATAAGGATAACAGAACATGAACAAATTATAAATGGAAACATTCTATAGTCCCACTCCACATTAGAGCAAAGATCCAGTCAAGTTGTCGGCAAACTACATTTAAGAGAGGCAAGGGAAGGACCACTTGGCAAACAAAAGACCATGATTGCAGGTATCCCTTTTGATCTTTTTTTTTTTCAAGACTGGGAAGAGGATAACAAAGGGTTTATAAGCGATGCATGATTTAGCCCAAAATTAATGAGACATGTGAAGTTTTCAGAAACTAAGGCAAGGCAGGTTAAGAAATTATAGTTTTCCATTTAAAATTCATGATGCTTGAATTTTTCTAAACTTTGTGCATGAAGTAAGATCAGGACCCAGCCTGTGCAACCCTCTGTGAAGATAGACATTATTGGTGATTTTTAATCAATATAAGGAACTATAGATTCCTTGTTACCTGGGCTCCCATATAGTCCTGCACTGCAGCTATACTTTCACTGATACCACCTAAACTTGCTTTCATTGATGGGTACTCATCATCAGCAAAGATATCTACACTCTTCGATAGTTTCATGCCTTTTTCTTGCAAGGATTGCAGTCCTGTAGCAAAAGCTGTAAAATCTTTTAGTAACATGCTGAAATGTCTCTCTGCAAGGTTGATCCTCTCTGTTATAACTTTGTTTTCATGGTCCCTGAAATGTAACACCAGTACATAGTTTAACCCTTTAATTCAGAAGTGAGAGATAATTAACATGAAATTTCTCAGCTTATGATGTCTATACATTATCCAGCAAACAGGTAACTCATCTGGTAGAAGTTTTTGTCTTGATCTAATACCAAATTCTTGTAACTAATCTACAAGGAAATGAGTAGCAGCTAGAGGGGAGAATTAACAAACAGATCCTGTGAGTGAAAGGGTTAACCCTTTCACTCTCAGGAGTGAATGAAAATAAATTTCTCTTTATAATGTCTATTCATTTTCATGCAAAAAGGTTACGAGAGGAAAGATAAGTATCAGTAGGGGATATTAATTGATTTGACAGAAAACTCTTATTCCTCAAATTCTAATGGGAAAGCATAACAGACTGTGTAAAGAATTGATATTTATATCTAGAGAGTGATCATAAGAGGGCTAACTTTGTTATGTGTTTTAATGAGGCCAGCTCTGATTGTCTGCTGACAAGCATGGCTCTCTGCCTTTTAGGGTCTGCCTCATACTGAAGGAAGGATGCTATTTCTCTCTCTCCCCCATCTGGTCACCCTTGATTTCCCAAGGATGTGTCCACCTCAGAGAAGTGCCGCCCCCCCCCCCCCATCCCTTATGAAAAAACAACTGCCTTATTGAATAACCACCAGACGATTCTGATAATTGACTCGCAAAAAAAAGGGAATTATCCATTAATGGATGAATCAGAACCAAGCTCTGCGACCGTTTTATAACTTTGTAATTAATATGCGTAATCTATTTTTCAAATCTTTAGATCGTGAAACTATATAAATTATGTTTGCAAACCTTGCTTTCGTCTCGCTTCTCATCTCACTAGGAGTAGAAGCATTCAGATTTGATGAGGACTTCTTCATCTTTCACGGGAATTTCACGGATCGTATGTAGATTCTTTGCAGTCAAAGCTTTGATAAGCCACCTTCCTGCAGTGATCTGCTCGGTAAAATTATGGACGCGATCAAAACATCACCAAGCAACCATGTAACGATTGCTTTCCTCTAAAAATTTCTCCGAGGAAGATGTAGCTTTTACTTCTTGCGCACTATGATCTATGTACAAGAGTCTTCAGGCACAAGCTCGCGGTAAATTCACTCAGCTAGATCTCGAGATTCTACAGCTTTAGACCACAACTACGATCGCCATTTCGTCCTGATACAACAATTTCCCTCCTTTGTCGGGAGGTAAAGGGCACTTTTTTTCTCCTGTTACACATGCGCACTTCTTGTCGTTTTCCGGTTCGCCATCTTGTGTTTCCAAGTGAACTAAATGAGCGAATCCAAAGGCGTCTGTATTCATTGCAACACATGGTTATTCGTTTCTCTGACCTCTGAGAAATATACTGGATTGTGCAGCTTACTCTGATGTGGTTTTAGCGCTGTTGTTTTCTGTATAAGTGGACAGACTGTAAGTTTTGTTGCATTCACGTGGTTTGATTAAGGAAGGAATTAAGGCTTAACGTTTGTAGTTTTGTGTTGTTGGTCGCTAAGAAAAGGGCTTGGTAACCTTAATTGTCGTTTTTCTATCTCTCTTTCGAATTTTAGACTCTGAAATGTTGCAGTCTAGATCTAAACCCAGTTGTCCGTGTGTTTGAAGCTATAGAACTTCCACATTAGTAGTTCCAAATTGTACTGACAATAACAACCAGACCTATTTGCACCACTTGCCAAGTATCCAAAAGGAAGAAAAGTATACTATTGTATGTTAACCTTTATAACAGTTTCCACATCAAAGTGTTGCTTGTAATGACAGGATATTTAAAGCTCCAAGACTTTTGACATTTTAACCCCCAAGGTGTGGCTGGGTTTTAATTTCTCCTCGTAGCACAAATATTAAATCAAACATTAAGGTCACAAGGACAGAGGTAATGATCATCAATTTAAGGAGCTGCTGGTTGTCAAATGAATTCAACCTGTCAGTACCAGAGGGGATGTAAAGAGAACCTTGTAGTGAATATGAATAATAACGCCAGAGTGTAAGAGGTTAAACAAAAGAGTGAATAGTCTTCTGTTTACAAGCAATTGATGAGGTTTTGGAAATGTTTATAAATGATTCCACCACTTGACTGGATCTTAAAAATTAGATAATAATGATCCAGTCAAGAATATAACCAGTAGCTTGGGCTGCAGTTCTTTTCTGTTTCATTTCATATTTGCTGTGCAAACATACAAACAGTTCCATATTGCACTACACCCATGTGGAACTCTTGTTCAGCTCACACTTTTCAAATGTGGCTGAAAGGAAAAGGATGAGATTGTTCTACAATCTAAGGAAACGTTTTGTAATTTAATTTTATATCTTTTGATTTCAAAATTACCATGACTAGTAATTTGTATCTGTAATTACTCCACTTTGTCTAGATATTCTCCAAATATACACCAAATTGAAATAGGGCGTCTAATTTGAATTGTAATTGTTCTGGAGTGACTAGCTTCATCTTCAGGTGGAAACACAAAAGGATGATCACATGTTTGAGAGGCTAGTCAGTCCAGAACAATGGCATTCAAATTACACACCATATTTTGATTCAGTGTATTGTCTTTGTTATAATAGTTGTTGTCTGTCAAGACCTCTATGGAATTTTAGATTGTTTTTTTTCTCTTGTAGAGACACCCTCTGACATCCTGGAACTTTAATGCGAAGAAGGGGAGGTCCTCCCCAATGGGGATCACGCAACAGGTCGCATCCTCCCTCACCACAACCACCACCTGAATATTATGACAGGATTGATCACCCACCACCTCCTCCCTCAGGAAGGGCACCACCTAGATTTCGGGATGATCCACATTTATCAAGACCTCCTCCTTGGATAAGAGACAAGTTTGATGGTCCACCCAGACATCCACCATGGGCAGATGATTACTCTCCTCCACAACGCTGCCCGCCACCTGGTTGGTCAGCTCCTCAGGACCCACGTCCTCCTTCATTTATTGATGATGGTCCATCCAGAACCCTCCCATGGAAAAGTGACTCGCCCCCACATCATCCACCCTTTCCTCCATTCAATGATGATGATCCTCAAAGAACCCCACCGTGGAAAAGTGACTCTCCACCTCGTCCTGCTCCACAATCTTCATTTGCTGATGATGACTTTGATATTCCTCCTCCCCCTCCTCCTCCTTATCTTCCAAATAGACCACCTAGAGGAAGAAGGAGAGCTGGACGTGGTGGCATTCCTGGTAGAGGATCACTCAGTGGAAGGGGTGAGGCTCCTAAAAGAAGAGCTATGATTACAAGAGGTACAAATCAAGCAAAGGGTGCCATGATGAGGGGTGTAAATAATAGAAGAGGGTCTTCTCCAGCCCCAAGGGGTAGGGGTGCAGCCATTACAACTAGGGGAGCTCAAAGTGCAGCAAGGGGTATGCCTATCACACGAGGACAGACTAGGGGCAGAACCAATGGATTTAGAGGAGCAGCAATGGGTACTCTTACATATAGAGGAGGAATATGTGTCTCCAATATTAATGGTAATGCAGACAGTAAAGAGGATATATCAGGACTGTCAGATGATACTAGCAAAGGATTGGCCAAATGGCTGAATGCTATCAGGAATGGGAAGTTAGATACAGAATGCCAAACCTCAACAGAGGCTGCTGGAAACAACATTAATGCAGCATTGCCACAGAAACAAGATTTTCAATCAACAAATACAGATGCAAAGACTGGAAAAGGGAATAATGTGAATAACTATGGTGCAAAGGACAAGCAAAAGACACAGCCTAGTGTTGTCAAAGGTACTTGAACAATAATTAGTGCAAAAACACACAGAACACCACAGAATTAATGTGCTGATCATTAAGAAGCTTCAATTTCCCCCCCTCCCTCCACCCCCAGGCAACCCACAGGCATTTTTCCTTTGTCTGTGCCCTGGTGGTGGGAAATTTGAACCTTACCTGGCTGGGGTGGGGAATTTAAAACAGAATTATCAAGTCTTTCCAACAGAATACAAGTGTTACATCTCATTGAATATGAAAGAGTTTAAAAGTAGATAGTTCACTTTTGCCAGCAAACAGCTCAGAATGAAAGGTGTACAAAGTCAAGGTGAAAAAGCTTGTATCCTGTAGAAAGTCATGATCACTGTTTTGCCTTTTCCATTTGAACTCAATTTTTTTCTCTTGGGGGCATGATAACACTGAAGCTTGCTAGTCAGCTGAATGAAGGTGCTCTTACCTCCTCTTTTTTTTTAAAGCACAATCTGTGAGGAAGGCATGACATTACTTGGAATTACGTTTTTCAGTGAAATACTTCAGTCATAAAATATTAATTATGAGTTGGTTTGTGCAATGTGACTAGCAGAGTTCTCTTAAAATGCTATCAACCTGCTATAAATGGTTTCTGTTGATTTTTCAACTGAATATCTTATGACGATACACTTGATGTTTGGGAAGGTATGTGAGCTTGAGTGCTAGTAAGATTAATTTCATGTATAGTTTATTGCACAAGAGCACAATAACACTGCCTCTGAGGGCAGATAGTGATGAGAACGAATACAGCTGTTTTGAAAAGGGTTGACAGGGTTTAAGGTAAAAGTGCCCATGACAACCCCAAAAGGTATTGTTGGCAGTTTCCAGGTCACAGTTCCTTGACCTCAGAATTTCAGGGAAATCTGAGAAAATGTCTCTGAAAGGACCAGGCATTGCGGGTTTGATGAATATTTGTTTATTTCACTCGTTGAAACTCACCTATTATCAGATTGTTATTACCTTCCGAGATTGCAGCTTGCAATTTTGTCCTTTTTTTCTGACAACATTTCTCAAAAAAGCCGTATATCTTTTCCACCTGGATAAGTGGTCAGGTTTTAGGTAAAATCCTGTCCAGTTATCCCTTTTTTTTAACCTTGTCTTGTCACTTTTTATTTACCTGTTGCTGGGTTTGTCTTGTTGCTGCAGTACCTGGGAATCCTGACTTCATTTCATTCAAGAACAGTTTACAAGAATGTTGCCAGAAGCAGCAGTTACCAGTCCCTTCCTACACAACTTGGAAAAATAGCTTTGGTTACTCAGGAAAAGTTGAGGTTGCAAACAGTACTTTCAAAAGTACTGGTGTTCAAGGAGAGCGTAAGGAGGCCGAGCAAGGGGCTGCATATTCTGCTTTAATGGCTCTGGGCCTAATTGATGCCTCTGTCAAGTTTGATGTTAAAACTGCTGCAGGTATACATGTAGTTTCTTTTTTAAGTTGAGTTTTGGCTATAATTACAGTTATATGTGTCTTATCTCAGAGGGCTTCAGCCTGTGAACACCTTTGACAGTTCCATGAGGATTGTAGTTATTAACAATTTTCCTGTGAGTGTGCGTTGGATGTGAGATGGTAAATAGGCAACAAGGTGCATATTGCTGAGTTTGCTGTAACCAATCTTGCACCTGAAAAGCATTAATGGAGTAATTGTTTGTTTGTGTTTTTTTAATTTTATTAGTACATTCTTGGATGTTTGAATATTTTCAGCCTCCAAACATAGCAATGCATTTCCTTATAGGGTGACTCAGAATATGAGTTGATAACCAGAGTTGAGTGAACCAATTAGAACATTATTTAATGCAATGTCTAGGTTTGAAAATTTGATAATGATTGTTGTTGTTGTTGTTATTATTATTATTATTATTATTATTATTATTATTATTATTATTAAATTATTATTATTATTATTATTATTATTATTATTATTACAACAGTTATCTGTAAGGGGGTGAGGGGCTAATCATTCTTCACTCCACATGAATATCCTTCATATGGTTCTTGGAAAACTGTAGTTTCATGAAATTTTTCAGTATCTTTTTCCAGGGCTAGAAAGACGTGGGTCATAGATAGTTATGTTAAAAGAATTAAATCTATTAGTTTTTATTAGTCTAAAAGACTTTCATGGTCATTTTCTATTAGACAAGAGGAAAACAAGAAACATGAATGATTGCATTCACATTATTTCTACTGGAAAGGTAGTTATAAGGAAGTTTTGGGTTCAAAATGGCTCAAAGCTGGTGTAAAGTACCTTGTGCCTGTTTAGGTGGATCTGAAATGTCATGAATTATTCTGCCCTATATTTTAATACATCTTGCGTGGTCTGCTTTCTTTGCAGTCATCAAGCGGCCTGCCGTAGACAACAGCATTGTGCTTGATCCAGCTGGAAAGAGATTAAAACTTGAGGCAACTTCCACTGTGGCTACTTCCTACAAGAGCAGACTGAATGAATTTTGCCAAAAGTTTCGTCTTTCAATTCCATCTTATGACACTGATAAAGTGGAAAACGGAAAGGGCTTCCTTACCACTGTCGTTTTCAACAAAAAAGTTTATAAAAGCAATGGACCACAGCCCACAAAAAAACAATCGGAACAGAATGCTGCACAAGTTGTTTTACACTTTCTGAACCAGTGTCCTCCTCCGGCACCCAGTTATCAGGATTATATGGAACAATGCAAGAAGCTCACCTCAGGACAGGATCAACTTTCAGAATCCATTGCTACAGAGGCATCTACCACTGCAGTTACTACTACAAGTAAGAATTCCTCGATTTTAGATTACGAAACAACAGTATGACTTGGTTTTAAACTCTTAAGTAAAGCAATGATTCTCACAGGTGATCTGTAATTTCAACAATTGCAGAAAGAAATCCTGAAAAATTCCAGTATTTGATGTGATTCAAACCCATGCTTCCCCCCAATTACCTGTTGTGTGGTAGAATCAACTGAGCTACCAAGTCTCACGTTGGGAGTGAGGCAAATTTTAGAGGGTTCTTTTTTCCCGTGAAGGAATCTGGTTTAAACCTTTTTATTTTCATAAAACCAATTTGACCCACAGCTTGATTTGTTACTACATAACTTTGATATCACATCCTTCTATGTAATTGACGACAAGCTGTCAATGAACAACAGTCACGAGAAATGTTTACTCCATGGTTGCAGTACATCTGAAAAAGCTGCAGGTATTGATGCTATTTGATAGCTTGCCACCATGCATGCTCAGGTCTCCTCGTTCGTTGAAAATTCCCATTATTTGGAGTCAATAAATGTTAAAAGTAGGGGCAGTCGAGAGTAGGCAAATACCATATGGGCAGGAGTAAACTAAATGTCAAAAAGGATGAAGAAGACTATCACGGATTTCGACTAGCCATGTTGGAAAATTTAAGTCGAATCTATACAAACCATACCGAAGCTCTTCTGTGGTATGCACACAAGAGACTCACGTAACCAACGCACCTGTCATGTGTTGCCTAGGTGTCCTCATGTGTCAAACACATGCAAAGGACGTAACAGAAAGTAGTCACTTGTGACACGTCTCTAGTCTTGCTGTGTTTTTCTTTTTTTTTTTTCTTTTGCAAATGCAAAATTTTCCTGGGGTTAAATTAACTTGTTGATGGTGTTTCTCTATTCATGCTACGAAAAGCACTGCATGTCTCCATACTCCACTTGCGCTGTATTTTTAAGTCCTTTTCCTCTTTTCCCGTTGCCGCCTTTACCTTGAGTTATAATTATGATGAAATCTTGTCCCAGCTACGTGAGAAATTGGGACCAAGCCATATTGATCTTCGACTGGTAACCAAAATTGTTTTCTAACCTTTTCCCAGTAGTTTGTAAATGTGACTGTTTCATCCCTGTCATATGTCCCGCCTCACGTCTCTGTTGCGCGTCTCCTCAGTGTGCTCTACACGTGGTGTTGTCTCTGTCACGTCCGTCACGTCTGTCACGTGTCTATGCATCATGGCCTCTTTTCGTTCAGCCGGAGGAAAACATTTTGCGTCCACTCCCCATTGCCCAAGGCTATAGCGTAGTGTTATGGGCCAGGTACTTTGTCTTTATGGTATCCCATTCCATATATACATGGATACCGGCAAACTGTGAAAGTTACCTGTCGGAATGCTTCGGGGTAACCTGCATCAGACTTCTCATTACAAGGGGAGGGGCATAAATCTTGCTATAACCCCGCACAATGGGCCACCTGGTGCAAGTGACGACATTTATTCTCACCTTCAGGTCTTCGCTGTTATGTCACTGCGAACGAGTGGAAACGTATTGCGCGTGTCTTGACAATGAGACAAATGCAATGCTCTCCTTCGCTTGCATGAGGAAATTTGATCGAGTGGAGACGTAGGGCGTGTGTCTAGACAACGAGACAAAAGTGATGCTTTCCTTCGCTTTTATGAGGAGATTTGATTGAGTGGAGACGTAGGGCGCGTGTCTAGACAATTAGGCAGATGCAATGCTCTCCATCGCTTGCAAGAGAAGATTTGATTGAGTGGAAAGGTAGGGCGCGTATCTTGATAATTAAACAAATGCAATGCTCTCCTTGCTCGCAGGAGGCAGGTGGACTTGTTGTTCATTCGCTTCACCCCGCTGAGTTCAGCGGTATATCTTCGCACGTGACTTGCAACCAGTGGGCGTGTATTGTCAAGAGTGACATTTTAGCAATTTTTTCGATGACTGGTTAATCAAGTTTGTATCAAAACGATTTGAGCTCGCCTTAATCTGATCCCCCCTCACCTTAAATACCTCCTAGACGTGAAAGCAATGCCTCAACAGTAATTAAATGCCGGTGTTGAGTGCCTTTCGTTTGTATGTGAATTGACAAATGTTGTGTCGAAGTCAGGAGTTAATCCCAGACAACAGTAGTAACACATTTTTTCAAAAAGCGTGAAATGCTGGAAATAGAAAATGCTGCTATCTTGAAATGTCTAAGAAAAGAATTGAACCGAGGTAATACGGAAGGTTTGAAAGATGAAATTGAGACTTATAGTTCATTTATCATCCCTGAAGTCGTTTTGTTGTGTTCAAAGTTTTTCTTACCTGGTGTGGCGTATCTTCTTAATCCTTCCAACCTTGTTTATTTACTTGTAATTCCAAACGGTATTTCAGAATACGGAGATTTGCGACATAAACCGAGGACCATAGCCAATTTTTTGCACAGCCTAGATTTAGATTCTTATCTTTGTCAGACAATTGTAAAGGTGCAAGTAAACTTGACCCCCAGACAGGCTTCTTCAGCTTATCGCGTGGCCATAATACTTATTGTCTAAAACCTTGTCTGACCTAAGCAGGGTTCGCGACGATTTATCTTATTTGAGACGGAAGCGTTAAACACCCACAAATCAAAGTTACTATCAAGCAAACTTTGTAGCAAGATACTCCAGTTAAATTTTACCTTGTTTGAGATTTATCCGTGGGTACAGAGTTCATAATTGTATTGCCAACGTATTCAGTTGTTTTAAGAAGTGTTTTAACAAAGGAAGCTTTCATTTGTCCGATCCATGGCTACTTCAATGACACGCTTCCGACTGCGAGGTGTCGGGTTACCTTGCGGTGCTCATTTGCAACAGCACATTTTAATCCACTCTTATCTTCAATCCAGGAGAGCATATCTTGGAATATCTACTTAAAGTTGTTAGTTTTGCAGTACGAAAGCCTCGGTACGAGCCCTTTACATTAGTTTCTAGACATTAACATTTGACCTTCTCTACTTTTCGCGCGTCTCTTATGTCTGTCTGATGGATGAAGTAGACGTTAATGAGATGTACTAATTCAACTGCCATTATGTGGATTTGGAATTTCCGGTATTGGTCGCAAAAATATCACGTTTTTACGCTAATAGCCGGATGTTCTTGTTAATCAAGGGGCGTTTGTAATTTCCGATCCAGAGTCAATTGGAAAATTGAAGCAAAATTATTTGCCCTGGTTAAGTTGCAGTCGTTCATTATTGCTGACAAGGTCTATTATGGGATATGAGCAGGGTACCCAACCCAACAAACGCATACTCACAGGAATCTCAACCCCAATTTCCGAGCACAACTTGTTATATTCCAGCTTAAAAAGCGCGGATTATTGGCTCTTGCAGAGTTATTTTAAGATTTTCTTGATTTTTATCCTAAATTGACGCATAAAAGAAGGTGGTCTGACGGAAATTTTTCGATCTCTCATATTTGTGTCGTAACTTTGAAACAATCTCTGAGTCGTTTCTTACGGTGTTCATTGTCGAAACACCTGTTGCAACGAAAATAGTTAATCCAATTTGGACCGCAAGACGAGGTAATTTTCCGGTTGCACCAAGGTCCAATTTCATGCGGTTTTAAGGCTCTTTGCCCTATCGCTTTTTAAGTGCCAAAAGCATTAAAAGTGGCTACTTATGATTTTTTCTTTATTATAATTGTTTTTATTAATGATCTTGTTATTATTAAAATTGATGCTGTCCTTGTTATTACTATTATTGTTGTTGTTATTATTATTATTATTATTATTATTATTATTATTATTATTATTTTAACACTAGTTGACCGATTTTAACGAGTGGTTTAGACGCCTTACAACAAGCATGCGCAGTACATGAAGTCATGGCAAGATCTGCTTGGCTTTGATCTCAAGTTTAATCTCCAGTGAAAAACAACCATCCTCAACTGACAACCCGATCACCTCGGAAATCTCAGCCATCGGAGCTGACATATCTGATCGAAATTCGTGAGCCAGTGGGGACAAACCACTTTGGTTCATCCAAATAAAAAAAATCGGCACTGAGAACTGAATGTAGCTTTACGTGTTAATCCTCCGTACACATAGCAAATGGACTGCGAAACAAGAAACAGAGCCACAAATTAAACCATTTGAAGGCGTGTTATTCGTTGAGTTTTGTCCTTCGCGTTTTTTTTTTCTTTTTCAACGAAAAATCACCACTACCCAACTCTCCGTGTTATTCTTGATTCTGCTCTATTCCATTCATAAGTCCAAGTATAAAGTCTTGCATTTTCACCACAGTAGTTTTCCTCTTAACATTTCTTTGCCTTTTCGATTTTCAGTAAACGCAGCAGTAGTGCAACCGATCTCTACATCCACAGCGCCCAACCCTTTCGTACCTACAGACCAGAACAATTCCGACCCTACAGCCTCAGAGACTCTTAATGCAGACGTAGCCAAACCAACCATTACTTTCACGTCGCACAAAAACAAACTGCAAGAATACTGCCAGAAGTCCAAGATAGAACTACCTGTTTACTCCTGTCAAAGGGAAAATGGCGTCTTTACTTGTACGGTTCATGTCGCTGGACGATCGTTTTCCAGTAACGGCTGTAACACTAAGAAAGGCTCAGAGCAGACTGCGGCCAACATAGCGCTGAAAGCTTTGGGACTTATTTAACACGGTTTGTACGCAGTTTTGACACATTTCTATTGCGGGCGTAGTCGAGGTTTGGGCACAGGAATGCACAAGGTATGAAAAATAATTTAAGACCATGATGGAAATTTATTTTATATCCATTACCTTGGTGTCAATGGGACGCAAGAGACGTTGGTCAGGTTTTTACCTCCATGGAGTGTTCGGCTAAGAAAAGTCTATGAAATGACAAGCGCTTTGTTCGGGCGACATGTTGGACAGAGCGGGTGCCCCCTGCAGGAGTCTTCCAAGGACTTTCGGCACAGCACCCGGAGCGATGTCGGGTTCGCTCGGGTTTACGGTCGGTAACCAACATGGTGCCCGAACGAGATGTTATCATCGCATTAAGTATTAGTTTGTCGTTATTTGCAACGTCGAACCTTAACTAATGACTCAGTTTCTTGTAGAATTTTATTTGATTAGACAGAAGCACTCGTGATTGAACGTTTGCGAGACTATGATCGGACTCATTAGCATTTTAATGAGAAACTCTCATTAAACGAACTGGATTAAAAACTAGGCTGCCACAGTTACATCTGTCGTGTTGTACTATGTGACGGAATACATAAGGAGAAACTGTTATACAACATTATTTTACTGGTTATAGTTTTTTTTTTATTCACTTTGTCTTTGAAATTATAACACCTGGGACGGTCAACTGTAAGGTACCAGAAAGATTCTTCTTGTCCTACAACATGTTGTTTTAGCCGTCGCGCTAAAAAATTTAAGGGTTTTACAACATCGTCGACAGATATCTTGACTTGCCTAAAATATTCTCTTATCGTTCGTTTCGTGAAACTAATGTCAGAATCGGGTGTTTAAAGGCTTTTAAATTGTCTCAAAGTTAAATGTATGAAAAGGAAAATCAAATGAAGTAGTTTTCTAGAGGAATCGGCGAAGCTAGACCTACGTTTTGGTCGAGAGTTGTAACCATACTAGTTGTTGTAAATAAATGCGTTAAGTGTTTGAAAGTGTAGCGGTTGACCTCGCGAGTGACTTCGGATCTGGGAGCTTTGTGCGTGCATTCTGGCGCCTATTCGCGCGTGTCGCGTGTCGCGTGTCGCGCGTGGCACGCGGAGCACTAGAAACGAGTCGATTACTACGAATCCTTACTGTTGCCCAGAAACAATATGATCTCGAACAAAATTAACTCAGATTTGTTTCTCTTTGTGCCATGCTCGTGACAAGTGTGTTGAAGGAAATTTTCCTTTCTTTCACAATCAAGGGTAAATTGCATTCATCGTCTTTTATCGTTTCTTAATATAATTTTCTTTTCTAGTCTTTAACTTTCGAGTAAAAATTTGTTTTTCACCTTTATTGAGTACATGCTGTAGAAAGTGCTTGATCCTAACATAAAGCGAATGCGTGACAACTACAATTGGAAATAAGTTTTCGTTCGCGTTAAGCTTATATTTTACCATGCCAATCTTCGCGTCAATTTATATCGTGAAACGTTTTTTTTATTATAAATGACTCTGACTGGGTCAAAATAAAAATATTTATTCACCTACTGTTTCACAAAGAAAACCGAATGTCGTCAACCGAGGAGAAGTGACGCACTTTTGAAACAATGAGGAAAAAACGCACCATTTTCAAATGCATTTTGGTTTTTTTGTTTGACTGAGTTGCATTGTATGCCAAAAATACAAACTTCGTGACGACAAGGTATCACGGCGTGCATTGCCCACGCTGTTTTGATCCATTTTTTTTTTTTTTTTTTTTTTTTTTTTTTTTTTAAGTTGTGAACTTCGTTTTTCCTTCTTACTGAAATAGTCAAGTTCCATCTCTCCTACATATTGCAAGAGTTATTTCAAGAATAAGAACGAAACATTGAATTGGACTCAGATCAATTCTTACAGAATAGCCCTTTTCACAGAAATCATTTCGACACTTTGTTCACTTGCTCCAACTGTCAGGTGAACCGTTTACACTGTCAAAACTCGACGAGTTAACTTTTCATCCGTCACTTTCTGCCATTAAAATCTCGCTATATGTTTATTCATTTGTTACCATTCTCAGGAACACACTGGTTGAATCGAGTCAACACTGACATATGTAAACTTCCATCCGGCGGATTTTTTCTCCGTTTGTCGCAAAGGATGAAGATAATTCTCCTTTTTCGACTCCTCTTATGATTTTATTTACTTTCCTTTGTTACCTTTCTAAATCCTCCCTTTAATCTCCGAAATTTCTTTACGAATTTCTATTTTCCTATCGTTTGTTTTTATTAATGGTAATCTTTTTCTAGCCTTGACTTTTTGAGCGCTTAGGATCACATGCAACAGGGGTCAAATTGAAAGAATATTGAAAAATGGTCGTGTATATATCATTACCATTTCTCTCGAAAATTCATGAAAAATACAGACAATAAATAAAAACACTCAGTCCATAGCTTTATTATATGAATTGCTCTGAACATAAACAACGAAAAAACTTCATTTAAAAATTTACATTCTTAAACAAACTTTTTTGTAACGAGGCGCAACCTTTGTTCTCGGCCAAACAGTTTGATGTTTTTCTTTTAATTTAACCTATAGATTGCAGCAGTTGTTTGCTATTTTTGTACCAATCTTGTTAACTTGTAGACTCGTGGACATTTTCAATCAGTTCGTGCCATTGTTCCGCCCACGGAAAAGGTGGAAACTTTAACAGTTTCCACTTAACCATACTTTTGGCCATCATCTGGAGCTAAGGACAAAATTATCGAGTTTGTCTAATTACATATTTATGATGTCGCTTTCAAAGGTGAAAGAGTCAAAATTAAAAACTAATTATTTCAAAACATGTCTCAAGGAGATTTCAATTTCACAGAAAGAATTTAAAAGAATTGAAGAAAATATGTAGCCGTAAAATCTTCGCAACAGGAGGCGAAGCAATAACTTTTCATAACCTAACGATGGCGCGCGCCCGTGAGACCAGACGCGTGGGGCGTTTGCCCATGCTCTTTGGTCATGTTTGGCACACGTCTTGCATACTATCAGGATCACAAGACCAAGTGCGCTGCGTGCAAAGAGAGACGACAAAAAAACATTCTTTTTTCGAGACTTGACATAAAGTTTGATTCTTGTGGGCGACCAAGTTGCTTCCCTAAGGTGGTACAGATACTTATTTGCGTCTGTATTTAAACGAGTCAAGGGTATTTGCCTAAAATGGTTTTAGATGAGCTTGATACCTTAGGAGGACATTTTTCGTGTGATTTTTAGAGACAACCTTTTCAGTAGCCAAGTACATGTGTGTAGATCGTGTATAGACCGTGTATTACACATGAAGATCTACGTTATTCCTTTGTCCCTTTCATGCCAAATGTGTGTTAGTGGGGAGGGGAGGGGAAGTTCAGCACACTTTTCGCCACCCCACCAGCCCACTCAACCAGTAAAGTAAATGGAAGCGTTATTTTCAGTTCGTCTTTCCGCGTGACTTTAGTACTTTGAAATGCCAGGTACGTTCAGTGTATTCAAGTGTGTTCATTGTGTCATGCGAAGTCTTGTATACGAGGAGGTTATAATTAGCACAGCTTGTCTCCTGCACTTCTCGAGGTCGACCCGCTCAGTTTTTTTTTTTTTCCCCTCAAAAAAACCGAAAAATAGGGCGCAGTTCAGTCGCAACTCTCCGAGGAAACATTTTTTCAACACAGAAAAGATACCAAAGTTGAAACAACAACCACAACATCGCGCATGTTGTTTTGTAGTTCGCCTTTATAGGGCATTTTCCTTTCAGGTAGATCTCGTTTATCATTTGTGAAACATGAAACTCTGTTAGAATTTTACTAAGAATGTCGTTGAAATTGATATCACTCGTTTTATTTCCTCTGGATTTCAATGCAAAAATGTGAATGACTTGGTTTGTTTTCATTAAGACAGACGATGTGTGATAGTCTCTTTTTTTATTTAACTTATGTAGTTTTTTCGGTGGAAGACGAAGTCCAGTTTAGTTTCGTTTCAGTTGTTGATATCACAAGCATTTATACCACGGGTGTATATGTCATGTGTTTCGTGAGGAATTCGTTTTGAGGGGAGGAACCCTCGTCAATTCTTCTTGAAATGCTCAGGATATGTCGCTTTATGTTCAACTATGGGGAATTCCACGAAACTTTCCGAACAATAATTCTTACAGCAATGGCAACGCGTCGTCATTCTCGTAAAGGAAGACTCCATTCCCTTTTTTTTCCCCACCGCCTCCGCGCCGGATTAAAGAGCGTAAAGTGCTGCCGATGAAAATTAGGTTTTGTATAATTAGTTGGAAGCTACGCGTGGGTGATAGATCGATAGTTTCGACAAGAAACTATCGATCTCTCGCCTAGCATACTACCTTGGAAACAGAAGAACTTGGAGTAACCAAGTGAATTTACTGCATTCTGAGAATGAATGAACCGACTTGGGCAACAGAAAAAAAAAATCGTTTCCAGTTATGTAAGTTGCTAGTGAGTTGTTGCTAAAATAGTGAGCGCTCACCTATACATGTTTTGTGTGGTAGCTGCATAAAACAATAATGAAAACATGTTTAGAGACAGGCAAAATCTGAACAAAGTTTAAAATGTCAGTGTCCGAAAAGTAGCCCGAAGTTAGTGTTTATCGAGTAAAGTCGGTGACATTCGGCCTTCCTTTGAAAGTGTTCTCTTAAGTACTCACTATTTTCCTTTGAACTGTTGCGTGTCACCTCAGAACAAACCGGTTTTGTTTTTTCCCCCGTAGGTAAACAGTGCACTTAATTTATTCAAGAGCTGTGTTCCTGAAGGAAGTTAAATCCCTAACGACCCGATCTCGCAAGGAAAAATCCGCGCTATTGTTAACTTCTTGCAAATAATCTTCGCATCTTTAGTTTCCAGCCAGGCCAAAGTTATCTGTCTCCAAAGCACACAGTGTGCAGTATACCACTGTTTTTTTTTTCTTCTCAGCCACGCTAACTGATTTTATGTCGTACTACAGGAAGGCAGTACTGTCACATAAGATTTATATTTCCTTCTTAATCGTAGTGTTTGGTCCTAATTTCTGACGCTCATAGGAGTTAAATGGGGTCTTAATCATAACAAGGAGGGTCTTTTTTTGCAATTCCTTTTGAAATTAACCTTAGTTGACATTCTGTTCCCTGGTCGTTAGCGTAGAAAAGAAAAGTTTCTAATGAATCTTCTTTGTTTTTTGAGTAGTCTCCTAAGACTCCCATCGCTTGTATCGACAGCTCACGTGTGAAACATAAATAATTATTTCGTGTACTCCTTTTTAGCAGTTTTTTTTTTATATCAAACGCCCTTGACTAAAAGTGCAAAAAGTCTTTTTTTTTTTTGCGGCGCGTTCTATAAAGGCTGTGATAGATGTAAAAAAGAATTATTTCATACGAATCACAACTCACTTCTCATATTTGTTTAGCTTTACAGGCGGATTTATTGAGCTAATAGTAACTCGAGGTTACGAACTTGCTTGTGAAACATTCTGCATTGGTTATTCGTTTTAAGGGTAAAAGAAAGATTTAGTTGATATCTCCGAATTTTTTGGCGCTCCAGAAAACTATATTCAAAGAAGAATTCTTAACAGGGTTCTATTGTCGCAAATTTTTAAGTGGATATTCGATCAAATAGTTCATTCAGTTTGATTTTTTATGCCCAAGTCTTGTCTGGTTTAATGAATGTTCATAAGTTTTTCTTGTCCTTTAAGGCATCTCGCATGTAAATTGGCGTGGGAGTTTTAAGACACTGAACTTTCGGTTTTGTTTTCGCGAAAAAACGGAATCTTCGAAGTAGAGTTGATTTGGAGGGTTTTAACCTCGATCAGAGCTGTACTGAGATGTAATATCGGTGTACACTGATGTATCGCACCACAGCTTAAAGTGCCTTTCTAATAATTTAATCTTTAAAAGCACTATTGAATATCGTTGTTGTTTCAAGGGGGAATTTAGAGATCGTAAACACCCTCATCGCGGGGAATATCAGAAACTGTAGTATTTAATCTTACAAGAAAAATAATACGATGATCCAGATGAAGACAATTCCGGCAGCTAGTTATTTCCGTTCGTCATCAGTGGTGAGAAGTTAGTTTTGAAATTGTAATTAATCAGTGTATTTCTTGAATATTGCTATATTTCGCCCGTAACTCGGAAGTGCGTGTTAAGGGTTGGAGAGATTGCGTGCGTGAAATTTTATGGAAATTTTCTCGTAAAGCTAATATAGCAGCCATAAAGTTCGCGTGAATTCAGGGAATGTTTCCTTCATTAAGGATCTATATTTGCGCGCTTTTTTTGTTTAGAAGGATTATTGAATGAAAAGCTTTCAAGGTATCATCGTACCGGCTTTCTGCTAGATCTTGAGTCCTGATAATGTGAAATCCGTGAGTTTCGTGTTTATGTTTCACCTTGGGTTGTGCTACATGCGTTGTAGTTGGTCAAAATGTTCGAGTATTGGGCCAATGACGCGAAGTTATGCTTCGGCTTACAAAGAAAGCTTTTCTAGAAAGTACCGTTTCAATTTATTTTCCCGATCGGAAATAGCTCTTCAAGTATTAGTTTATTTCACTTACTTTCCTTACAAATAACCAACGCAGCGTGTCTCGCCTTGCGCTTGAAGAGATGTTGTATTCGAATCAATATTCATTCCCAATTCCTGGTCGCTGCAAGTGTTATGACAGAAATTTTGGGTTTTTCGCTTATTTATCAAGTAACGTTCTTAAAACCTGTGTTAACAGGTGTTACCTACCATTGCACTTAATCTTCTCGAAAAACTGTGGAGAAAAGCATTACAAAACAACAATAAGAGGAAGGACTGTACCACTGGTGAATTCTTTAGCAACGGCAATTTACTCTGGGCACGAAACACATCCTCTGCGATTTTAGAGCAACTAAGGCAAACAGAAATTAAGAGTAATAGTCATGCCTGGTTAGAAATTTCAAGGTGAGAATGCGATAGAAAAAGAGCACAAGTGACTGTTGTACGTGTTTTTAAAAAAAAACCGTGGTTGTATTTATGCAAGATTAAGGTGGATATGTGCCTATTCTGGCATCGGACCAGTTTTAGGCCAGTTCAGGTAAATGATGTGATAAACAGAGACACTCGCCCTTCTCCTATCTGTCAAATTTTACTAACATCATCAGTGCCAGAAAGGCCAATTAAAATTTAAAAGCGTCGTTTGTGAGAAAACAGCTCGAGCTCGTCATTAAGCGTTCTTTTCGTAGACGCGCCAACGTTGTTTATTCTCAAATAGCGGAGAGGGTAACTTCGTTGCCCGGGTTAAAACTCGTCTCTAGCGAGAAAACTGTTTTAGTCAGAATTCACTCAAGCGTGGTAATTATTCCAAAGCCACGTGGCATGTGGGCCAGCCCCCGTTTCTTCTTTCAGCCAATCAGCTACCAGTATTTGCCGGTATCTTTAGTGACATGTGACTAGACCCGGCTGGTTTTCTGCTCCCACTCACACTTACTCAAGAACAACATTTCATTGATTCGTTCCCTATGCAAGGGAAAACATGGGCTCTCCCGAGCATTTGGTGTGTTTTCACTGCACTGTCACAAGATTGCCGTCAGGGGAATCGGACGCCGAGGAGGAAACCATCTCAGAGATTTCGTGGGTTGTCGTCGACGTGAAATCCAATCAGGTAAAAAAAATTTTCTTGCGGTAACTTGTTATGGATTGTGTAAGCTACGTTGGGGTTTCCCTTGTCGGACGCGAGAAAAATTTTCTCAAGGGCTCTGGGGGCGATACGGAGTTAGAACAATATATTGTTGATTTTTATCCTAACGCTGTGTTCATTTATGCCGAATTAGCCTGGTTCCGTGCATAGATGTGTTGTGAAATCGGGCCTGTCTGGAGCGAACGAAGCGTTAAAACAACCCACCAACAAATCGCTTGTGACCAGTGAAGCTCAACAGCTCGGGGACGCGTTAGAAAAGGTAACGTTACCAGTAGTGTGTATTTAATCCATCATTTCCGTTCACCCTTTGTTCGATCAACAACAAGACACGAAAAATGTCGATGTTAAAATACTCCGTTCTCTATTGCTGCTGACGTTATCCCGTCTTCGGAAGAGCGCTTTATGGCCGAGGAATAGAGGAGGCGAATTTTCAAGACGTATATGTCATGTAAAATTCATACATGTTTCATTGGCGTGTTGTGATCGCTTGAACAGTCCTCAATCACATAGACACAATGACAACCAGCAAAGGCCGAAGAAGTTTCACCAAATTTATGTTTTGATCGCTCGACGGGGTAGGAGAATACATGCTTTTTGTACATTCGGCATTTCAAATGTGATCTCCCTGGTAAACAGGGGAGACGGGTCACACGACAGGAATTGGCCGCGAGTTTAATTCAAGACGGTGCCGTTCGAAATTTAATTCTCGAAAGAAGTAGAAATAAAATATCTATATAACCGCGCTGAAATGAAATATTAAAAAGGCAACAGTTAATTCTAACAAGCTTTTATTCTTGAGGTTTTTGCGAAGTAAATATGTCCAAGATCAGAGATTGTATCGTTGGTTGCGGCACTAGGGCAAGTGGGAATGCGACGCAAGTGATGTACGTAAGGGGCCAACTTTCTCTCGCCCAAGACAACACTGTGTGTATCGGATATTCCAAAAAATTTTGTAAATATTCTTATCTGGTCTTTTGTTGAACTTTCGTATACTTGTGTGGCCATGCATATTCCCATAGTTTCCGAGTCGCCAGGCGTCTGTTTGTTATAAATCTCGGTTTTTATTTTACATTCTCTCTCTAAAACCCCCCTACGCAAGAGATATTATTTTCTCTACCGCTTTCGTATACAATATTCATGATCCTTATCGGCAGTTTAGAAAGAAAGTGTTAATACAGGTCTCTCTTTGGGCCAATGAAATATTTTCTCGTACAAATTCGTGTTTGGATGATTTTTTTGTCGTTTCCCCGGAAATGTAGGGAAACCCAAGATTTAAAAGTGCTCACAAGTTTGGATAGAAATGGTTCCCAAGGTTAAAAACTGAAGATTCGCATCGGGTCAAGAACTGAAGAACACCTCCACCGATCGTTCGATATCATGTGTTTCCCTCGCGATCGCGTCTAATCTCGTCCCAAAATAAATCTCAAGTCTTAACTGATTGTTTCTGGAGTGTCACGTAAATGCCCGTCCGCCTATTAGCCCAAAACAACACTTTCCTCTCGCACGCGTGTGCTTACGTTAAGTCTTAATTGACTAAATTCTCGTTAGGAAAATTCAATCAAGTAATCTATGAGGATTTTTTAATCGCTTGGTTGCCGCGTGCTAAAAAATTTGCATCGGACCGAAACATTAGTGATCTCAAATGCTTGAAGGGGCGGCTGTATTGTTTTGTGAACAAAACCTAGACACTTCTATTTCCCTTTGGTATTCTTTAAAGAACAACAAGAATGTGCGGACATCCAGGTTCTTCTGTAAATAGCGCACTGCGTGAAATTTCTTTGTCCCGCCATTGTTTTGTGACTGCAATTGTGCCTAACAGGAAACCCCTTAAAATATGTCAACATGGAGTGATTGGCAGCTAGTCTTGTCAGGGAGAAGAGGCTATTGGTTGCTTGTGTTGATATATCAGTGTTTCTTCGTTGTGTTTCTTTTGTCCCAAAATATGCTGAAGAATTTTGTGTGATGTGATTAATTTTTCACCAGCTCATTCTAATTTGGCACAGGTTTTATCTTCTCAGAATGACTAAACCTAAATTTTATTGCTATAAGACCTAATTTATAATTAATTTTTAGGAAATTGTTTTACTTTATCTATTTTTTATTGCTTTACATTTCTATATTTTGACATCTGCAAAACGTTTCTTCTGTTAATGATTGAAAACTCTGATAGTGATATCCTTTACCAAATGAATGATAGTCAGCTGTAAATGAAAAGCCTTGGCTTATTTCCATAATATGTAGACACCTCGTCTGTGGAAATAATTTTACACCTCTGAATAGTTGAAGGCCCAGTTTGTTTCACAAATGCATTAAAATGCAGACTAGTATCTCTTTTGGGTCCATTTACAACATCTCTATCAACATTTTGTTGTCTAGTATTCATTGCAAATGAAATTCTCTTGTCTAGGCTGACCAGCTAAAGTTGCTGCCATATTCCTTCTTAAATTATCACCATAGTAATCTTCGCATAATATTTGAAATATGTGAATATCTAAAAAAAAAAAAAAACCCAGAAAGAGGTTATAGTTCTCACCTTATTGAAGTCCACTCATAATGAACTATTGTAGTTTGTGTAACAATGTGATTGCTGGTGATGTAAATTTTTATGTTCAAATGAAGACTCCTTGTTGCTTGGTTTTCCATTGGCTCCTTGTTCAAAAGGATACTGTGGTGCAATTTGTTTCTTTTTTACAGCTGTGTTTGGGGCATTTTAATCCAGACTGTTTCAAAAAGCTGTTCCCTTTCCACAGTTCTAATCGGAGCATTTTGATTTGGGATGGTTTAGGGAGCTGTTCGCTTTGTGATCTTTTGTTCAAATGTTTCCTGCTCGTGGCTACAATTATTAAGAAATTTCAGCACCACTGTCTTTGATGATGTTGTTAGGGAAAAGCCTATGGTGAATAGTTTCTTTGACCCAGTCTGTTTTGTTGTGAGGATTGCATTTAATAAACTTCACTTCATTCCAAAAAGGGAGGAATCCTGTGTAATGAGCATGCTCTGAAGTGGGTAAGCTTTAGGCAGATCTGATACACCAGTCTTCCTCTCTGATTTGATCATGAGTCCATGTAAATCTTGTGGTCTTACCAATGTCACCTTTACCAGGCTCACAAATTTATTAATTGCACAATCTAGGTTAACCAAGTCACTAGCATCTTTTGGATTTTAACTGTGATCTTATTGTGGTCCCCAAGTTGTAAACAGCAGTGTGTGTTGTTGGCAACCATAAGGTTGCTCAGACAGACCTCTGACATAGAATAAAACTGTAAAGGTTTTGAACACAATTATAGGCTTGAATTTATTGTTCATTGTGTTTTCCTCAGGAGTTATCTGAAATAGAAAGGGATGATAACATTGATCTTTTGTAGGATCCTTTTGACATTGGTCCAGAACATAGATGACTTGCTTAGCCATGTGCATTATTTGATCTAAAGTCTATATGAACTTGCAATAACTCATAGTTTTACTTACAAAATTGAACCAAAAGAAAAGAGTAAGAGTTAATCAAACTGGTAAATTTTCTTATGGATATCAAAACCCCACAAAGGAAGCTCCCAAATGTAGATCTAAATACAAAGCCACAACCAAGTACATCGGCAGACCACAATACAATAAATTATGAAGCTTCAACCTTCTTCACATGTTGAAAAAAAAAATTCATTTTGTTTTCATAGTTTGACAACTTTGTTGAGAAGACAGTGACATGTTCTGGGGAAAGATGGAATCTTGTGACAGATGGACAATTTCCATTAAGACATTACCTCCATTTGGAAGCTAGTAGAAAGAAAACCAAATTGTCTCAACATTTCTACAGCTTTTATGATCTTAGGAAGGAAGTCAGAAAGGCACTGAAGCATGATTCAGACTATAAAAGCCTTGAGGAAGTGGCCTCACGTATCCTTATCTTACATTTAACCCAGTGTGTTTTTGTTATAACCTTATTTGTCATTATGATATTTTTCCATGAACCAAAAAGAGGGGGGGGGGCAGGGGGGAATAAAGTGAAAAGTTCCAAATTATCAATCCCTCTCTTCATGCCTAGGACAAGGCAGCCTTTGCCCCAACAGCTGTTCAAAGGAGTGGTGGTGGTTTGACAGTAATCTTTTAAGTTTTTTATTATAAGCAAAGGAGGCCATCTTAAAAATCCTACTTTATTTTATTCAGAGTGATTTTAATAAAGGGCATAATTACAGGATAAATGCAGCCTAGTGAACCTTTGGAGTTGACCCTTCTGGGATCCATGTATGTAAAAAAAGGAATTAGGAAGGGCGAAACAGTAATTATCAATCAGCTTTAACTAAAGACAGCAGGCAACATAAGCTAAATGGAAAACTGTCTTATAAATGACTAAAACAAAGAAGGCTTGTTATCTTAAGGGAATAATAAGGAAGGTCAAGCCCTCTACTACAAGGAGTCATTGTGACTCATTAAGACAATTAATCATTCAAAGTGTTGTAGCATTTACACAGGAATGCTTTCAAGCTGGTATTCCCTTTATCACTTAAAGTTGGATATTTTCAGTGTTTGTTTTAATCTGCATTTCAACTGGTGTCAAAAAATTGATATCAAGCTTAAATGGCTGTTTTCCTAGGTCAAATGAAACTGTGCAAAGACATAGTTTTTTGTCAAACATTTGCATGGGTAATTGATTATTTTATGCAATTTGGAATAAATTAGCAAAAGTTAATTATCTTAAGACAAGGTAAAATGAAAGGCTGAAAATGAGAAATCATGTAAATTCTTGATACTGATTTACATTTTGTTTCAACATTCTGCACTCAATTTCAACTTGCTTTGAATTTTAACTTTCTATACTGCTCTGATTAATTGAAATGCTCTCAGTCTATAAGAAAGCCATAATTTGATCAGCTCTGAAATTACATTATTTGGCCAAGTTTCCTTTACGTTGATCTCAGATTGTAGAATCGATGCTAATAACAACAGTCCAGCGGGTCTGGAACACTGTAAACTCATGGCAAGTGTGGTTCAGTATCTTGTTACAGAAGGTAAGCTCACAAAATCTTTTGATTAGATGCAATAAAGTGTGTCAGTAGAAATTCTTGCTCCTATAGGAGGTTTTACATTTCCACTTTTATTGCAATATTCTGTTGTTCTGTGAGTTTCATATTTTAGTTTTTAATTATATTGGAATGCTTGATTTAATATTTTGGGAATTTGGGTTCTAACTTAGATGAGTATTATATTTTGCCCTTAAGACTTGAAAACTATATTTTAGTACAAAGCAGAATATACTTTTTGTAATTTTAGATGTACATGCAGGTTGAGAAAAATGTGTCTACTTTTAATTCTTTTTAAAAAAGAATAACAATTAAAAAACGGTTTGTGAGGACTAGAACCTTCACGAGGTTGTAAGTTGTGGATCATCTTTAATCCCAATAATAAAAATAACTTTTCAAGCAAGAGGTAAAAAGTTATCTTGAAAATATTTGAACTGTGTCATGGAGACAAAAAAATGCCATGCACATATCAGCTAAATTTTTAGGACGCATGCAACAGTATATCTTTGTGGTCTAAGTCCATCACTTTGCAGTTAATGGTTATCCTGCGTAACTTTTGTTATCATTCCTTTTGGACTAGCAGTAAGAAAAATTTGCATCACTTTGAAAAAGAAAAATTTCACTATATTGTTGTTTAAGCCTATGGTTGGCTAAGATTGGCCCTCTCTTTTGTTTGAGAACTGAGTAATTTATTTGTCATTTAAAACACAAACCCAACCCCGCATTATTTTAAGAACTTTGGAGACAATTACCAGAATTCCTGTTCAATTTCTTCAATAAAGTTTGTCCAAACTCTTGATTTCTTCACACACATTAATTATCAGAACAATTTTGTGTCATGGTAACACTAAATAAAACAGACTTTACTTTACTGAAGAGAGCTATGTTCACATTATTTTAGGTCACAAATTTAAGGATCCAGAAAAGATCAGTTCCAAGTATGAGCCAGGAGCATGGTATGGTGCTTCTTTACGAACAAAAAAGTTGGTACCTCAACAACATTTTTAATCTTGCCTTTAGTAACATTTTAATAATGTTGACATATGAAACCATTCCAGTCAAATCTATTTACAATTCTGTATGGCAATATAACAGTTCATTGTGTGACTGTAATTCCTACCAAATAACACTTTAAAAAAGAGCAGCCCCTACAAAGTCAATTATTCACAGTCTTCCCAATGTCAAGGATTTATTAATTATAGGAATTTTATGATTCAATCTTTACATTTTTAAGGACTTTCATAAACAAAATGTTAGGAAAATAATCAAAAAAGATTACTGGAGGACTATTGTAAGCAAATCTTAACAAGGTTTTTTTTTCTTTGATACATTAAAAACCTTGTGCATTATGTGAATGATATAACATGAGGCAGTTAGAAGCTATAGGTGTTAGGTTAATTGCATCTATCCACTAACATTTGGCTTGCAAACATAGCTGATTTTGTGGTTCCTTTTCTCTGCCCTCAAAATGAGGAAGAATGGGAGCTATAGTTCCATGGTACAATCACCTTAGTCAATCTTTAGGATTCTGTGTCACAATTTATTTTACCACCTGTGGTTGCAAATGTTATTTATTGAGCCTAGAGAGGCAACAGCCACAAATACCACTGTGTTTGCAAGGTAGCTCACATGGTAACTTTTATTGTTCTTTTCTATCATCTTTATTGCTGTGCAACCTTAAATTTAAAAATTATCAGAAAAGATGTTTTATATGAGGAGTGATATCCTTTTGTCAATCTTTAGAAACCTCTCACCAGAATCAGTAATGTTATTGAAATCATCTTTTACCTAGTATAAATACCAATGTGACTTAAGTTATAACACTGTTGTCCATTCATGGAGATTTATCTCTAACTGAGTTTTGAATCTAACATCAGCTAGCAGTAAAATTGGCTGCCAAAAAGTTCAGAAAGTGTGTAACTTTCCATTAATAATAGAGGCTTAACCACTGAAAATTCTACTTACAGTCTTGGGCCTGTACTTGATGATACAATCATAAGAGCAAGGGGGCTTCCCTGGCAAGCATCTGATCAGGATGTTGCAAATTTCTTTAAAGGACTTAATATTGTAAGGTATGTGGTGTTGCCATTGAACAGGGAAACAAACCATTGATAACCATTTCTTAGTACAATAATTCTTGATAAATCAATTAATATTTACCAAATATTCATTATTTACTTTATTGAAATTAACTCTCTAAATTTCTGAAAACGATAAGTATTGCCTTTTTTCCATGGGCACCACAAGAAATCTTGAATTAAGTGTAGAAAGAGTGATCAATAATACAAGCATGTTACCATTTCAGCATGTGAACTCACACAACCTCAACTTATCCCTATTCCTTATCTTGACAAGGAGTCAAGTTGCTCCCCGGGTTGGGAAGTTAGTTGCACTTTAAGATACACAGGCACTGTTAAAAGATAATTATGACTTAGTTTTTCTAGGAACACATTCTGCAACCAGATGTAAAATTGATTTCTTGGAGTGTTTTTGTTGTTGATAGAGGTGGGATAGCATTTTGTTTAAATGCACAAGGAAGAAGAAATGGTGAAGCATTCATCAGGTTTGAGAAAGGGGAACACAGAGAATTTGCATTGAAAAGACACAAACATCACCTTGGTACAAGATACATTGAGGTGAGAGGTGACAGACATGAATTGTTTCCTTTACATCCTTCTTGTGTTTACATAATTTTAAAAAAACATGCTCATTGACCTTGCTTAAAGAGACCACACATTTAGATAAACTTGGAATCTTCCTTGGGGATTGATTTTGGACTTATTTCACAACACCATTAGTTCATGGTAAATAAAGTACTGAAGATCAAGCAAAATAAAGCATTGAATAACAAATAATTTTGAAATCTGACTCACAAGATTGAAGGAGTATTTCCTAATACACAAACCAAACAGTAAAATACATCAAACTTGTGAGCCATCCTGTTTTGACTTGATCTTTATCAATGTCAATGTCATTGCATTGGTTCATGTAATTGGGCCCCTTTTTATACCTTATTTTTCTGTTTCACTCTTTGGAAGAGCATATTTTAACTAAGATTTTTATTCAGGTTTACAGAGCAACTGCACAAGATTTCCTTAAGATAGTGAAAGGTAATCTACTTTCATATGACCTTTCAATACCAGATTACTCAAATTGAAATATAATTCATATTGTGATTGGGGCTACACTAAGTTGAACAACCAAAATTCTTGTAAAATGCCCGGAAACTGCTTACCAATATATTTCGAGAATAATGGAGGTAAGCCTTGACAGACTAGCACCCTATCCCAGTAAAATTAAAATGTTCCTAGTCACTTCATGCTACAGAAATAGGGATGCAGTCAGGTGTTGATTGAGCCATAAGGATTAGGAGCAGATTTTACATTTTTCACCACCTTTTTCAAAAATATTTTGGAGTACATAAAAAGCTTTTAATTCAGGGCTATTCTACTCATTCTGTTGAAAGGTTATATTTTACCAATTTCCTTCTTTTGTTTATTCTCATTAACTGACTTATTTATATATATAGGTCCTGTTGATGTCACCCAGATTGCTGCTAACTTTGTATCAAACAAAGCTGAGGTGATCATTAGAATGAGAGGACTTCCATTCAACTCAAAAGAGAGTGATGTGGTGAGTGTTCAGGAGTGAATTATTGACATCTGATACATGTAGTCTCACTTTCTTGTATGTGTTATGACTATGTATTGATATATTTTGCATTTCTTTTTCCTATTTTTTCCCTTGTGTAGATTGAATTTTTTGAGGAGGATGCACCAGTTTTCAAAAGTGATGAAGGAATTCTCATTGTTAGGAACAACTTTGGGAAGGCTACTGGAGATGCATTTGTTCTTTTTGAGACAGAGGAACATGGCCATGCAGCATTGAGGAAGCACAGATGCATGCTTGGCTCCCGTTATGTTGAGCTGTTCCGAAGTTCACAAAGTGAGGTTCAGCAAGTTCTAAACTCTTACAGCAATCTCATGCACAATTTTCCACCAATCATGTTTCCACCCTTGCCACATCATCCTCCCTTTCACCCACCCTTCTTAATTCCTGGGCTGGGTGTAAATGGTATGAATACCAAAGACTGTCTGCGCTTACGAGGGTTGCCGTTCTCTGCAACAGTACAAGATGTATTAGACTTCCTAAAGGAACATGCTGCATTTGTAGTTCCTGGTGGAGTTCACATGGTGTACAACACTCAGGTGAGATGGGTTGTGTAATGCTTTAAAAAGAAATTAGTCTCATTTTCTGATTACTGTAGTTGCTGAAACAAGTAGCTGTCAAAAGTCTTTTTCTATCTTGCATATCAAGAGCTGGTGAAGCAGATTCAAAACTGCTTTTTTAGAAACGTCATGAATATTTCCTGCCCTTGTTCCTCTTCTCCATGGCTCCTCCATAGTTATCCCTCTAATCTTCAGAAATGAGAATAAATTCTTGTTGTGAGGGGCTTGAGCACAAGTAAAAATTTCACCTCTCAGTATGACTGGTAAATTTTCTGTTATGATTATTTAAAGGGTCGCCCCTCTGGAGATGCATATGTCCAGTTAGTATCACCTGAATGTGCAAAATCTGCCACCACAGACTTGCACAGACAACACATGGGAGAGCGATACATTGAAGTGTTTCCCTGCTCAGGAGTAGATATTGCTGCAATTATAACCAGCAGTACAATGAACCAAAACAAGATGACCTCACCCAATAACACTCCCTACAGCCATCCATGTTCATACCCCATGACCAATGGTGTGGTCACCAGCCCTAATGGGACACATATGAATGGACACACAGACACTGTTGGAGCTGCTACATCAGCTTGTCGCAGTCCCACAGGATTGTATGTACCTCATTCACCCACATACTTCAACTGCATTATACCTCAAAATGGCATTGGTGGAGGGAATGTGAGTTATTATCCACCTGCCAGTGCAAATTTTAGGATGCGCATGTCACCATATTTGCCACAGCCCTATGAAGTGATGCCTCTCTTTCAAGGATATCAGGTAGGCTAGGCTTTAATTTTGATTCCTATCATTTTTTCAACATTAAGTTTGTTAAAATAAGTCATTATTGAGTGAGAATGGTTTCCTGAGTCTTGTGTGGTTGTTTTGGTTCTGGATCTACCTTGGATTAAGTCTGTATATCTTGTGAAAATCTGTTTGGAAAATTTACTTTACCAAAACAGTATTCTATGCCAGCCAACATGTCTAGAATCAGAGCCAACAGATTTTTCGTTAAAGAACAGATCAAATCAAAAGATGTCGAATAACATCCCCACATCTTTTGAAGACATTTGGAAGACTTCTGAGACTACCCCTCTCCCTTGCTGTGGAGTAGCATTGGAAAGGAGTTTTTGGGAAGGATAGTCATATACCAAAACTTTTCTCTTCTTGGACTAGTATGAGCCTTTTTACCCCATTTATTTTTTGGAAAATGGGTTTTTTTTTAACCCTTTGACCCTGAGAGTGACTAGCATCAAATTTCTCCTTTCAATAACACCCCTAAATCACACATTAAGGTCACGAGAATAAAGGAAATGATCACCAACTAAAAAAGCTCTTAACTGTTCGACAAATTCTCCTTGTTAGCATCTTAGGAGATGTATGGAGAACAGTATGGAAAATATGTATACCAATGTAAGGCTGTGAAGGGTTAAGTTTTAAGAGTAAGAAACTGATCAGCAGACTGGAGTTGAGAAAACTTTTTTCTGCAAAAGTGAGAATCCTGCTCAGAGTGTGGGGGGTTGGCAGGTGTGTTGTTACCTAAGCTTCTTTGGTAACAGCAATAGTTTTGAACAGAGACTAATAATACCCTTAACTGAACATCTTTCATTCGTAGATCGCAGACTATGGCAGGTAGTTCAAGCAGATCACCTCTCTGGGATCCTGCACAAAATCAAAGCAATCCTTAATAGAAAAGACTGGTCCTGCTATATGAAATGCTACTTGCAAAAGATTAAATTAGAGACAAGTTCTCAGAGCGAAACAGCTTTTGCTGCTGCTACTACTGCTGCTGAAGCATTTGCAATGTTTTTAGATGCCTTCCTCTTAGTCAACAAGAAAAAAAAGTATGACTTTATCATTCAGTACATCTGAGTGAGGAATCCATAATTATTTTAGATGTAATGTACCTGTAATTATGCTGCTAACATTCAAAACTGATACATTGAGTGAAATTCAGTATAAGAATGTTCTAGACATTTTTGATGTGTCACCCTGAAAGACAGTGGTAGAAATTTTCATTCGACTATGTGACCTGTGTACTACTTATTAACAATCAGAATCAGGTGACTTGATAAACACGAGTCAAATCTTCTAAGAAACTTAGTTCAAAGGTCTGTTACTTAAACGGTAACACACCAAAAATAAACAGAGATAAAAAAAATTATGTAGTTCATAAAAATGCAAGCAAAAATTTGTCAAGGAGAAGTAGATGCCTTCAAAATTTTTATCATCAGATTGGATGAAAAAGGATAATTTCTGACACCAGGTAGTTTTTAAATAAGCCCAGCGTTTAATTGCTGCAACATGGATTTCGTGCGAAGATACCTTGACAAATAGGAAAAAAAAATACAAAGGAGAAAACATACAATACTAATTGAATTATGAGAGTGATATTGTATAATTACAATGAATTGTAGAAATATGTTCAGATACAAATTTTATTTATTTTTTGCTGGATACCCAGACTCCAGCTCAAAATACAATCTTTTTAGCCTCGATACATGGGAGATAATACTCCTTAACCTCTGATGCACACAAAATCCCAACGTCAGTGGTAAACAGTGCAATATCTTTTTGCATTGTGTAATGATTCTGACAAAATTGTCAATGCATCAAGTCACTGAAAGATGTCAGAAGAATTAAATACTGAGGCAGAAAGGCTTATTTGGCTGTCAGTGAAATGCTGTAAATTAGAGCATGATGTACCCTGACTGTACATTAATGTAATTAGTATCAATTTATGCTTGATAGATAATCTCGTTCAATTTAGTTTTTAGAACTTTTTATACTAGTAACCAGTCTTAGTCAATGAAACATGAATTTGCCATGGGCTTGTTGTAAATTGTAATTGAAAAGTTTGATTGACTGAATATTTATGTTAATTCCACAATCTAACTTGTGGAGGACTTTAACCATTCACACTTTGAAACAAATGTTCAAAATCTTCAACATGAGCTGAAAGTTTGTTTCAGAACAAGTTGGTAGATATCATCATTGTTTTAATGTATTGAAATTTGATTATTAGTATGTATTTGTCATAGTAACCGTCCAAACAAGTGTGTATTTTCAGGAAAAAACATAATTTAGTTCTCAGCGCTTAAAATGTAAATGGTTGAATCCTATAATTAACATCAGTTGAAAGTGGATAGTGTTATAATCGGTGATGACAAAGGGCAAAGTTGCTGGTTAAAATTAATCATTCTGATACAAGGCTGGATCAAATTTGCAAACCAATTTTTTCAACATTTATTTGTCTCTAAACGTGCAATATTTATGGGCATAGTGTTCAAAACTAGCCATATTGTTTTTATTTACATGACAACTAATTATGTATGACAAATAATTGTTAATAGCCAGTCAATGCAAGAGACGCTGCTCTAAAAAGAGTCTTACAACCAGTACTTGTCACTCAGAGCACATCTAAAAATATATGAATTACAAATAAAAATATTATTTTAACCAAGAGAAGCTTAACTAAGCCAGGATAGACCACTTAATAAATGACATTTATAACACATAAGGCAAAGCCAGAGCATAATTAAATTATCACCATTAATAAAGTTGCTCTAATTATATTTTCCGAATGTGTTAGTGGTATGTGTGAATACATGCCACTGTCGGTAAAATTATTTCTTGAATGTTTATGAATTGTCATCATGTTGTTACCAATAATATCTCATTTAACAATCTGGACTTGTTAGACAGTGAAATATGCCATAACTTGAAAACGTTCTGATCCATTTACCTTATTTATCCTTGATAGAACAAGAATTGTTTATGGCAGTGCCATGAATAAGTGCAAGACACTAACACTCATTATAACAATCTTTGTCTTGTTTTTTTTTTTAGACTGGTTATTCTTAATGTGATATTTTTGGTAACAGAGAGACTAAAATACAGATAATTATTTTAGCTATATTTTTAAACATACTAAAATAAATAACCGAACTCCAGTGTAAAATAGAAGAAAACTTGTTGGTGTTTTTCTTACAGATACAGTCATTTTAGTCACACATCTTTTCATGTTCTTTTTTCTATGTATGATTTTTACCTTAATCAAAAACATGCATAGCTCAGTAAATTGTACTTGTAACCTGGAAATGACTGTACTTTCTTGAAAATAAAAAAGTGAATCTTGTTACATGGCAAGATTCTGATTTGAAATGATTTTTTTCAGTGTAGCAATATGGAAAATCCTTTGTTTGTGTGTTGTTGAGCCCAACAGCAGGAGGTAATGTCCTAGTCAAAAGTGGGTTCTTTACACTAGTGTTTTACCATCATGAATGGGTCCCCAGTTAGTTTTCTTATTCTGAAATTTAACTTTTACCATTGATAGAGAAAGTAAGTGAAGTGAACCTCAACACCCCCCTTTTTTTACCCCTGCTTTTAGCCAAGCCCTTAGAGGTGATCAATGCATCAGATACAAAGCCTAGAAAAAGACATAGGGTTTGAGTCACCACTGGCAGATTGGATTCATGGTAGTTCTAAGTACTACTTTGGCAGCTTGAAGATAGCTTTATAGATTGCCCCATTAATGGAACGATGAAACACTGCCACTAAATGTATACAAACACTTGGAGAGACTAATTAAAGTCTGTCTCTGTCTGTGTTAGCCTTCGATACAGACTTCCTAAGGCTTGTCATGCAATCATTCCTCCCCAAGAAGATCATTGGGTTATGAGCCTAATAATGTTAGCATAAAAGGCTATTTTTGGGTCAATATGTGAGTGTCATGTACCTGTAATTCTCTTTTCTGTAAGAGGCCATTTTACAGTTGTGTACTTAGTTGCCAAGCCTTTGATCTGGATGGAGAAGGGCTGATGTTGACCCTGTTGTGATAGCGACCAATATCTAGTTAGCATGATAACAACATCATTTATATCTGAAAAGCAGCAAGGTTTGTATAATAACAAGATCACCCTCACTCCTGTTCAAAGGCTTGGCAACCTAGCATGCAACTGTGAAATAGACTATCTACCCAGGGCCCTCTTATTTATCTGAAGCACAGGGACTTAGGCAGTAAAAAAATCTTCCCCACTTAAACAAGTCAAGCTTCTTTTAGAAATAAACCAACCTATCAATAAATAGTATCAAATAGCTTACTATGGAAACTCTGCCGAGTCTCACTTCTCTGCAAGTAAAGGAGGAAGAGTTTCACCAGCTGGACCCTGAAAATGGAACCTGAGAAAAAGCAAGAGTAGATAATTCTTAGCAGCCTTGTACAATTGGGATTTACTGTAAGTTATAGACTAAAATTATGGGATCATCAGTTGATCCAAAACTGAATTCTCAGAACAAAAATTAGAAGCAATGTATGGCAGACAGTGAGGAGAATTATTAAAGAGATCTTGGGAGTGAAAGGTTTAAGTTAACTAGCTAAAAATGTCAGCCCACTCAAAGTTCTAGGAATTTGTGTGGAAGGAGTTCTTTTCCATCCATTGCAATTTGGTAAGATTTTTCTTGTGTCTGACCTGAAATGGCATAGTGACATAAGATATATGAACAAATTTATGCACCTGAATTCTCCAGTGCATGTTGTCTCTTCCATGTTGAATTCTGCAACTGGGACTCCTCTGGCGGCCAACATTGGCGCAAATCCTGCAGCTGGGTACACCACAGATGATGTACCAACCTGAAAATAGGATTATTGAATCCACATGGCTACATATGACTTTCTGGTAAAATAGGATTTTAATACTGGTCAAAATGGGTCAAGGGAAGGGGGGGGGAATGCAGAATTAAATGTACAAATATACAATTTTGGGTCCCTCTGGTCATCAGGAAATTTAGGGTCTACCTGGAAATTGGCTTTATTGTTGTTGTTCCATTTGGGGGGGGGAGGAGAGGAGAGGTACTTTGGAAGTAGGGGAGAGAAGGAAAAGGGACTTTTGGGGGAGAGGGGAAAGGGAAGGACAGAATAATAACAGCAACTGAGAGGAGCCTGGAAATAGGGAATTTATCTTCAATATTTCAGAAATCCATACCAAAAGACACATATCACACTTTTCCAAGGCATTGTTTGTAGCTTTCAATACATTGTAGTCTAGATTTTCTCCAAACCACACAACATGAGGACGGGCCAATTGTCCACAATTGGGCTGGACACACCTGAATTAAAATTTATAATTAATCAAAAAGATACATTAGGAATGGAGTACCTATTTTAATAATACAGCAGAGTACCATAAACACCATTGTATAAGCTTCACTTGCAGATGAGCCACACCTCAAGTTTAGCAACTCAAATATTGGAAAGAAATCAAAACTACTTTAAAACTTTCTGGCCACCCTGAAGGTGTTTGTGTATAGCAGAGTCTCAATAATAAAAAAACCCAAAATGTATGTTTGACTATATTTAGACACGTTATCTCAAGTTTCTTACCTGGGTAGATCTTTCTTCGGAATCTTTGCATCCTGGGCATCAGGATCAGGTGCTCTGAAATCATGAACAGTATATAATTTATAAAGTCAAAATCTGTGAAAAGTGACGTGAACAGTCAAAGGCACCAGTTGGAAAAGAATCAAAAATTCATTTTTTTTTTCAATTTACATTTTGAGAACATGATCTACTTTTGGCAAGGAAAATTTTCCATTCTACATGAGTGCACCATTTTGTCAATGTGAAATGTGTGGATAATTTTGCCAAAGAACAAAGGACCCTATTTAAACTCTCCTTTTCTCTAAACTTATGAAAACTTTATGAAATGAAATAATGATTGTTTATTGTCTTCTTAAGCTTTTATGATATGTATACAGGTAGTTTAAATAACACTTCACACCCTAATGTCAGTATCCATACTCTCCACACCCTTCTCTTAACATTTCATTTGGTACTGGCAAGGAGAATTTGTTTAAATATCAAAGCCTCTTAGTTTAGTGATCAATTCTAATAGATGACTCAGCAGTATTACTGTAAGGAGAGATTAATGTATGATGGTTTCTCCTAGGATCTAAAGGCTGGAGACATTCATTCTGTGACTGAGAAGTTTCATCTGCTAAAAGTTGCCTGAAATTAGATGTCCTACCCTTTCCCAGCTAAAGCGGGTACAATTGGACTGTTCCTATTTTCTGTTACATGTCCACATACAGTACATCTTGTCTTAAACAGTGCCCCTGGAAATAAGAAATGGCAATGCTAGTTGCAGTTTCTGGTGGGCGGTATTAATAAATCCCCGACCCTCCCATTCCTTACCCCAAAATATTCTTCCAAAAGTCAGTTACACACTTGTTTATTTACTTCCATAAAAAAACCTTTGCATTTCTATCGCACTTGATATCAGGTTTGGTCATTATATATTTCACATTGAACAATCCAACCCATCAAACTACATCTAAATAAGGGGGAAAATCCTAATTAAATTCACTATGATTTATCTGATTTTCTCAGTCTTGGTTCCTTTTTGTATCAATCTTATTAATCTTCTACTTAATTACTTTCCAATGAAGAAAAAAGAGCAACGAGAAAATTATCAAGCAATAATCAAGGCACTTAATAGTGATTCATTGAGAGGTAAATTTATTACATAGAGGTATTTTCTGTGACTTTACCAGAAAAAAGAGAGAAGACCCCTACCATGAAGTTCTATTACTTCTTTTGTCCCAGCAGCCTGATGTAATCCATCAATATTCTGTGTTATCACGGCGACATTTCTACCTTGTTCTCCAAACTTTTTCTGCAACTCTGCAATAGCATAATGCGCCTTGTTTGGTTGTTTCGTGAGGACAACTTCTCGCCTGTAACTATAAAACTCCCATACTAATGACGGATTTCTACGAAATGCTTCGAGAGTCGCAAGATCTTGAGCTCTGAAAGTTCTCCAAAGACCACCGGAGCCTCGAAATGTTGGAATCCCACTCTCAGCACTAGTACCTGCTCCAGTTAGAACAACAACGTTCTTTGCCTTTTGGAGTAGATCGCGAAACTCTGCTTTGTTACAGCTAGTTGTGTGAAAAGAGCTTTCAGCCATAATAATGTTTCGGGAGATTTTAAACGCTCTGGAGCATTGACCTGCACCTGTTCTAAGGTTCCTAACTACAATCATCTGTGTTTCTTCAAATCAAGGAAGTGTCTGGAATTACCCAAAATATTAGAGTGAGACTGGAACTACTATTTCTAGTCTCTCTCTGTTAAACGTGGTAAAATCAAAATGGCAGGTCACTTTTCAGGTAAGTCGAAGAGTTTCAGGTAACAACAGGGTTGTTGTGTGCAGTATAACCCCTTGGACTCTAAAATTACGGGCTCTCTTTGTAAACACCATGCTTTTGTTTGTCGAAATAGAAGTTTTGCGATGGTATACATTCATTTGATTTGTTTTGGAACACGTGTAACTTGTTTGCAACCGGGCCATCATGTGAGCCATACAAGAAAATTCTCGTAAAAATTATTGGATTATCAGTGATCTAGGCGTCTTCATTCATAGCCATGAATAATTCAATCCGCTCTATATTTAAGGCTTCACTTCGTGGATGGAGAAAAGGGGTGACCTTTTGTCCGCCAAATTTTCATAAATTTCTGTTCCAACATAATGAGTATATATCATATATATGCCATTTATTGCAAAATTAAACAGACCGGTGTTCTAGATTATCTTTACTCGTTTGGAATTTTTTTTGTTTTGTTTTGTTTTTTTATTATTATTTTTCAAGCTGACACACATTTCATGTCGCAGTGTCAGCCTTAAATGCCAAAAACTTTTAAATAAGAATGGGGGTGTTTCATGCTTTCCAATCGTTTTAAGCAAGGGTATCTCAGTCATAGCTTGCTGGAGTGTTTCCCCACCATGTCAACAGGCATCATTTATTTTCCTTTTTTTGTAGAGTTTGGCTTACTGCCTGAAATTTGCAAGGCAGTTGAGGACATGGAATGGCTGTAAGTATACAATAATCTCATGATTTCATGAGAATTTTGAACTTGAGATATTCTGCAAGTTTTCATTTACATCATGGTTAACTTTGTACTGATATAATAAAACTTTTCTTTACTGTCTAGTCTTCCAACAGATGTACAGGCTGAAGCCATTCCTCTCATTCTTGGAGGTGGAGATGTTCTTATGGTGAGAAGAACAACGCTTAACTCTATTGTCTGATTTTTGTGTGTGTGATTTACTGATTTTAACCAACCTGTCAAAATACTTGACAAAAATTAATATCCAGGGGTGTAGACTTCTCTATTTCTTGCAGAGTAATTATTAGCTCCATATCAAACTGGTCTTGAATCTCTAAAGGCTGTTGCTGTTTTTATTTATTTAAATTGCTCAATGTATTGTTCAATGTGGACCTCCATATACACTTTGCTTTCTTTGCAGGCAGCAGAAACTGGACGTGGAAAAACTGGAGTATGAGTTCACTTTTTCTAATAAAGCTTTTTAGATATTCATCAGAAAATGCTTGGTATAAAATTTCAAATGAGCTTTGAAAGGTTAATTGATTTCCTTGCTGAACAATATACTTAAGAGCCAGCTTCTTTTACTTGAACAAAATGGGTTTGGTGAGAATATTGTCATCATTTCTCACCAGTGTCAGTTTGTGTATCTTGAAAAATTGTGGCCAGATTTTCAAAGTTGATTTTTTTGTTTTTGATCCTTATTGGTATTTTCCAATTTTAAGCCATTCTGATCACATCTAAGTATATTAAGCTTCTCTTATGTTTTTCTTTTTAAACTGACAAATTTCTTTTTCAGTTCAGTGGTTAAGACGAAGGCTACTTTGTATGTCATAATTAATTACTTGAAATAGTGGATGCATGAAAGTTATACACCTCTGATTTTCTTCTAGGCATTTTCTTTACCTGTGATTCAGATTGTACATGAGACAATAAGAGAAGCACTAACTGGCCGGAAGAGCTCCAGACCCACATCTGCTGCACCATCAGATGGTATGGACTCAACACTCAGCAAACATCTAACAAGGATAAGCCAACATTATTTAGACTAAGAATAACAAACAGTGGTTATTTTGTGGTATATTTTGTAGAGACACTAGAACAACCAATCACAGTTATGAAATTTTCTAATTAAGCAGAAGATTTACTTGATTCTTCACCTCAGGGTAAACAAATAGATCATTCTTTAAAAGATGACAGGGAGCCAAATACATGTGGATATGATCTAATGCACCAACATGAAGCTAAAATTGACAAAATTCTCAAAATTGTTAAAATGCTAAAATACTATTTTCAATCTTATGATCTACCATAATTGCTATGACCTGACAATATGTGTATATATACATACTGACTGAGATTTTCTGACTTCACATGTTTTTTTGTGAGCAATTTGTTTTTCCATCTTTAACAGTGCCAACTAAGTTCAAAATGAATGTATTTGATCGAGATCAGGACTTTGGTGAGTACCCATCAACCTGATGAATTTGTGCCAGGGAATATCTGAAGCTTTACCTGATGAATTTGTTCCAGGGAATATCCCAAGCTTTTATGTTTAGTTCATAGAGACTTCAGACATTGCTTAATTACATACACTCCTAAGATCTCGTTAATAATTCTCCTTGCTGTCTGCGATAAAGTTCTTTTAATGTTAGATAGGAGAATTTTTTATTGGATCATCTACCACTGATGTAATCCCCAAATTGATATTTTTCTTAAAGTTTATTCTCATCTTTTTTCTGCTTGATATTGTGTTCATATGGTAAGGAGAATTTTTGTCTTAGAAACTCATGGGTGTTAAAGGGTTAAGTGCTTACAATACATTTAAGATTAATTTACTTAATGTTTTGAAATAAATGTTAATCCTTTAACCACTAAGAGTGACTAGGATCTAATTTCTCCTTACAATATTACCCTTGAATCACACATCAAGGTCACAAGAATAAAGGAAATGATCACCAGCTAAAGAAGCTCTTGATTGTAAGACAAACTCTCATTGTTACCATCTTAGGAAATGTATAAAGAACAATATGGAGAAAATGCATACTGAAACTAGGTTGTAAAATGTTAAAGAGCAGTCATTAGATAGAGGTAATGATACTTAATATTAATTTACTTATGAAGTATAATCTTGATTTAAAGGGCTGCTGTCGGGCTGTATAAATTGGCAAGAAAAAACAATTTCTTTTTGTGTTTGAAGTTCAGGAAGGTTGACTAAGTGTCATCTGATGGCAACTTTTGAAGTCCATTGTGGTCACCTGATACTAAACAAAGTTAACCAATTTCAAGGCCTTTTCCTAACTCCTGTGGTTTGACTTTTTGAAGCTATTGATGCCAAAGGTTATCTGTGTCAGAGTCGCGATCATGATAAGTGGCAAGGATGCCGTTCTACTTTGGGAGTGAACAAAGGTTTGTAGGGAAGCTGATAATTTGATAAAGATGAGCTGATTTTTTTCTCAAATAAAAGCTGTTTAAACAAATTAGGAAGTTACAAACAAATAAAACTTTTCCTGTTTCAAGTGACCCTTTTCAGCTATTTAAGGAAAGTTGCAAACATACATGTATGTAAGGTTTTTGAGATACTTCAAAAAGTGATCTTTCAGTTTTTTCTTGTGATAGTTGGCATTTATCTTTAAATGTGTTAATTTGAATTGGGGGATGATTTTCTGAAAATCTGCCATCTCATGAAATTAACTGTTGCAGTTTTCTATCTTCTCAGGAATGTATTATTATGAAGCAACTGTCACAGATGAAGGACTCTGTCGAGTGGGATGGGCAACAGACTTGGCTTCACTAGATCTTGGTACGATGACTGTTAATTGAACGAGTTATTAAGTTATTATAATGATATTGTTAGAATGAATGAAGTACATTTTGGAGCTTCATATCATCATGGAAATGGGTAGAAGGGTTATGAAGTGATATGATCACTTGATTCCCATCTCTGAGGCCTGGTTTTCATTTCCAGATTTGATTTTACTTGAGTGTGGGATAATGTTTGATGTTTTTCCTTGTTCTTGTATCTGGGGTTTTACTTCAAATTCTCTGTTTTTTTTCTATTCCTCAACAAAACCAACACTATAAAGTAATCTTCCACTTGGAATGAGTGGACTAAGAACTAATATGTGGGTGCACCACTTTTAAATCAGGTGCTTATTTTATTTTAGTTAATATTACAGTTGGGGATTTCTTCAATGTAAGTTGACCTCACATGTAGATAGTTAACAGCTCACATTTTTCCAAAATCTTGCTCACTTAGTATTTCAACCTTTTCTAGAACTGAAGTTGTAAATTCCTTCTCATCTTTTTTTCTCTTTTTTTGGTATCCAGGGACTGACAAACAGGGGTATGGATTTGGAGGCACTGGGAAGAAGTCATTTGGAAGGGAATTTGACACTTATGGGGAACCATTTGGAATTGAGGACACAATTGGATGCTATATTAATCTTGACAATGGTTTTGTGAAATTTAGCAAAAATGGTACTTTTTTATTCTTTTTTCATTTTTTATTAAATGAGAGTTAAGAGGTGGTTAAAAATGGAACAGTTGATGAGTTAATAACTCCCCTGAGTCACCAAGACATAATTTCTCCTTACTATATCTATATAATATCATGCATGCAAGTTATGAGAATAGGGAAAAATGTAAATTATGGGATGACCAATTGATCCGATACCAAATTCTCCAAACTAGCAAAAGGAGAATTGTTTGGCAGACAGTAAGGAGAATTACTTATGAGATCTTGGGAGGTACAGGCTGGGTTAACTGCCAAGTGTTGAGTACACTTTTGGGCAGCACTGTATAAATTATGACTTGTTTCAAGAGAGTGTTGCTAAACAAATTCTGCCTGCAGCTTAGCTGCAAGTTTTCAAAGTTATTCATCATTTTTACAATATATTGATTCTTAAGCATATGATTTAGTTGCAATTTATTTCAATCTGTTATTAACTTTATTTTTTTTTATTCTGGCAGGTGTGGATTTTGGCAAGGCATTTGAAATTAGTCAAAATCTTCAAGGAAGCACATTCTTTGCTGCAGTTGTGTTAAAGGTAACTGAATAAATGAAACTCTACTCCTCATGAATATCAAGATCATATGACTGGTCATTCTTAACCCTTTGACTCCCAGAAGTGATGAACATGACACTTCTCCCTACAACATCCATACATTTTTCAGCAAACAGGTAATGGGAATATTCAAACTTATCAGGTAGAAGTACCATCTTGATCTAGCACCATGTTCTCGTAACTAATTTACAAGGAAATGTGTAGCAGCTAGAGGGGAGAATTAACAATCAGATCTTGGGAGTTAAGGGGTTAATATATTGTTAGTCCTTTATATTTAACTGAACAAGAATATACAAGATTGGTGTTTGTATGAAAGTGTTCATTGGATATCTTTAATTTTATCGATCTGATAACCTCTCAATTCCTGCATTCAATTCTACCTGTAAGTGTGAGTATTCTCTCATACTTTCCCACCTTCCCAATGTTACTTATTAACTCATTGTGTTCTTATTGTCACATATTTATGAAAAGACCCTTTTTTTATTAGATTTTGACCTGGACTTGCCTACCTAGACTAACAATGACTTTCTTTTGGTCAGACCAGTTGAAAAAAAGTGTGTCAAGAAAAAAATATTGTTGTTGTTCGATTTTTTGTTGAACCATAAAAACATTTTCTTTGATTTGCAGAATGCAGAGCTCTTATTCAACTTTGGTGATTCTCCATTTAAATTCCCTCCCAGAGTAAGTCCCTTTTACATTAGCTTTAACTTGTTAAGAAGAATTTCAATGCCAAACTGTTAGGCCATAATAGAGAGAAATGTCAGAGTTAAACCGACAAGTATCCAGACAGGAATCTTTTATCTACAACAATAGTCTGTTACTCTGACATTTATTCCAGGGTGGATATGCAGGATTGTCCAAGGCATCACCTAGTGCTGTGAGTGCCTCTAACATCAATGGAGGTATGTGGTCTTAAGTTTTTGAAAAGAGAGGGAGACTTCAGACAAAAAGTCATTTTTGTCTCCACCATTTTAATAGTATGTATGTAAAATTGCTTCTTACCATGAGTCAAGATACTAAAGAATTTCATAACCCTTCCGAAAACTCAAAATTCAACAATAGATGCTGTATAGTAACCTGGAGACAAATACGAGATGTGCCCAGAGTCATAATTCTATGTAATTACTACTTAATTAAAGATATTAAAATTATGTGGCCTTAGAGAAATCTTACACAGTCCTGTAGGATTCTGGTTTGGATTTTAACTGGAAATTTGGCTGAAAAGGCTTGTTGAACTCTGAAAACCATTAATACCTGAAATATATCTAAGTATGTTCATTGGGAATCAGGAAATGAAATAAAGAACAGAAACAAGGAAAAAATTAGCATGATTGCATACAGTTAAACTTTTTCCTGGCTAATCAGCTTGTTTTGAATTTCAAGAACAATTAAGTCACATTCCAGAAACATTTTTGATGCTCAGGCTTTTCTGGATTTCACAGTTTATGTGCAGAATAAATTCTGTGTGGAATACAAGGCTCAGGGATAGCTTGCTGGCTGGTGTTCAATTGCAGTTTCTAAACTTGAAAAATATTTGATTTGTACACATTTTTGTTTTTGATAAAAGGTGCATCAGCCTCAGGAAAGACCAAACCTGGCAAGTTTAATAACAAGTGTAGTCCATCAGCTATTATAATGGAGGTAACTGTACTCACTGCTGTCCTTGTTTGCCTTCACCTTGATTAGTGAACACTGAGAACATGTGCAAGAGGACCACTTGAAACCTCTCCCAATCTCCCTCAAAGACACTACATTGTGACATGTCATAATCTTTATGATAGCAATAAGCAAACCATGGGATTTTAGTTTGATGAGAAAGAAAATAACAAAAAAATGGAAAGGATGAACCAAATAAGAATTGGGATGATTGGGGTGGGAGCAGGTTGGATTGCAATTATTGGCAAATTTGGACAATCACAGATAAATTTCTTAAAATATGATTTAATTAGCTCTCTGAAGCAAAGTCAAAAGAAGTGATGCAAAATGGTTCCTTTAGCCTGCCCTATTTCTTGCTCTTCCTTAATTTATTCCTCTTTCATTATCAATTAATATGGATAATTATTTATGACTAATAATGCAAAGAATATGAGTAATGGTACATCAGCTTGGTACAAGTTGTCTTTCTTTAAATCTTTACTTGGTTTGCATCCATGCAAAAAAAACATGTAGAATTAATAAACTTGGCTGCAAAGCGACAGAATCAAATCTAAGAATTCTTAGAGGGAACACAATTATTATCATGGACTTATCCTTCTTTCAAGTTAATTGTCTTCTCTTCCTTCTCCTCATTAGCCATCAAGAGAATTAGCTCAGCAGGTGTGTATAGTTGATCATGGTCATTCATTTCTTTTAAAAGAAGTTTTATTCCAATAAAGTTTTTATTCAATGATAATTATAACAGTAGAAATGTTCAGGGAAAGCTATTCACTTTGAATGAGGGGTGCGTTCATCTCACTTCATTAGTGTGTGCATTCATGATTTACTATCAGAGTAATTAAAAGGATTGTAAACTTTTGTCTTTGTGCATTGTTAAGGAGCATAGATTCTTGCCGATGGAAACTCATAATTAATACATTTGTGTTATCTGTTTAGACCCATGATCAGATATCACTTTTCAGGAAGCACTTACCAACACCACAAGTCAAGTAGGCTTCCCTGTTAATTTTTATATATCTGTTTTGATGAAATGCCTTGTGATGTTGTATTACTGCTGGAAAAACTAGCAATTCTTGTAACTTTTAGTTATTCTGACCACGAATAGTACTGCAGTCAGACACTATTGGACTATCTGACTGATATATCAAACTATTTGCAGAGAGGTGCTTTTAATTGGAGGAGAGAATATAAAGACGCAAATTCAGACACTGAATGAGGGGGTAAGAGTGCACCGATTACTTTGTAAAGTAAAACCAAATTAGCAACCACAACAGCCAAGAGTGGTGGTCATTCTTTCTTTCAACAGCCAATCAAAACAAAGGAAAAAATATCACATGGAGCCAATGAGAATTCAAGCAAATACATGTGAATGGGAAAAGATTAATGACAAAGTCATGTGGACATAGTTTTGAATCTGATTGGTTGAAAGTGCAGCACAAGGTCTCTGGACCAATCATGTAGCAAAGTAAAACAAAAGCAATATCAAAGCATTCTAGGATTACTTTTGCAAATTTAAAGTCTTTTCCTGAGAAGGTGCACTTTTAGTAACCCTTGTAAGGTATTTTCACCTGCCTTATGCCATCTCCTTGTTTTATTTCTTACTTGAACTGAAGGTGGACATCTTGACTGGAACACCAGGAAAGCTTGATGATTTTATTTCAACTAATAAAGTTAGCCTTTCTCAGGTAAACATACCCACCTCTTTACTGGAGAAATATTTTGTTTTTACCTTTTACATCTACTGCATTATATAGTCCTCTTCAGGAGTAACTTATGGAAAGAATCTTTTTACTTTTTCTGATGAAAAACTTCCTTGGCTATACACTAATTCTCTACTTAGGGTGGCACAATAAAACTTGTGAGAATCAATTACAATTCTTCACATTAAATCTTAGCCGATCCTTATCCCTTGTACTTCTTTTGACTAAAAGGTATTTTTTCAGTGTGTGAATTGTTAACAATTTCTGATTAAATTCCTTTTCAGGTTCGCTTTTTCATTTTAGATGAGGCGGTAAGCATATATGTATAAAGTCACTCATTCCTTCATTATTTCTTTCTTTCTCTCTATTTTGTTTTCCTCTAGACTCAATCATTCATTTCCCTTTTGTCCCTTTCTTTTATTTTTTTTTATCTTTCATCTCTTTTCTTTTTTTCCTTTAATCGCTCTTCATTCATTTATTCATTGCCTTGTTCAGAATCATCTAAACTTTTGCCTGTTCTTGATTTGAGTCTACATCCATTGGTTCTTTTGTTTATAAAAATGTTTTTTTTAAAATGGTACTTCAAATGTTGTTCACCCTTTCACTCTCAACTTTTTATTAGTAATTCTCCTTTCTGTCTCCCACACAGTTCTTATGATGTTAGTTTAGAGAACTTGATAATGGATCAACTAATAGTCCCCCTTTTGATATTTCTCTTTTTTTCTGATCATCTGTGTGCTTGATATTGTACTGATAAGGAGAAATTCTGTCTTGGACACTTATGGGAGTTAAATAGACTAAAAGGAATGAAAGTCTTGCTTAATGACACGTGGCCTCGTAATGTCTGTTTCCTTTATTTTGATCAGGATGGTTTACTAGCACAGGGAAATCAAGAGCTAATCATGAGAATCTTTAACAAGATTCCTAAAAGAAGCCCTGACGGTAAACGATTACAGGTACATTATCTACTCCTCTGCCTACTTTCAGTTCTTATTTTGACAGAAGTGAGAATTGTAGAAGGAAAAAAAACACATTTGCTGGCTGATGAATGTATAATGGATTCAATTACTACACGAGGCTCAGCCTATTGCAGTAAGAAGAACTGCAACTCCACTCTGAAAAGAGCGAGTTTATTGATCTGTGACTCAATGAAAAAATGAAAGGCTTTTTCTTTTTTTAACACGGTAACAAAACTGGTTGCTGTCCATTAAAATAGGGGGATTTTTGAATAAGAAACAAGGACAGCATCGGCGAAAAGTTTTCGTTTATCAATAGCTGCTGTTTAAACGGCGATGGATTCCAAGTTGGAATAAGCGTTCAAAGTAAATATAAGATTGTCTAAACATAACATTATCCTTCAAAGAGCATGGAATGTACGGAAAGAGAGGTAAAAGCATTGTAAGTAATTAACGCATTGAAATCGTACGTCATAGGTCATAAACGCACTCTGGTCAGCCAATGAGGAATTAAAAATTTCTTTCTTAGAAATTTTATTTCAATCTCAGGGGTTGTTTTCCGCTGCGTGCTAAAATGATAGTACTTGTTCCATTTTGTTTGACAGATGATCGTGTGTTCGGCAACCCTTCATTCTATAGAGGTGAAAAAGTTAGCTGTAAGTACTTTTCTCTTCTTTTCATTCAATTTACCTCTCAGTTTTACGTGGAAGTTTTTCCTCTTTTAATTTTCCAGCTATCGTACTTATAACTTTAGGTTGATGAAAAAATTGATTTTTCCCCCAAGTTTGTGCACTTATCCTCACCTCGATAACAAGCCGCTGAATATAAAATGCACCCGCGCTCCTCCCCTGACAGCATTCTTTGGCAGATACTGAGCGTCTATATTTCCTAAATGCCTCCACCTGAGTACCAGTTCTTGAAAGTTCTAAAATGTCCTAAGTACAATTGAATTTAAAATGATGCAATGACAGCTTGCTGAAGTCGATCAAGTTATGTCGTAATTGGTGGCTCGTATGAAAAGCTACGCTTACCGTCATGTTTGCTCTTCATACTGAAATATAATTTTCTCCCTCAGGATAAAATTATGCATTTTCCAACCTGGGTGGACCTCAAAGGAAAGGATGCTGTTCCAGAGACTGTTCATCATGTGGTAAATAACTAAGAACAGGGCTCACTTAATAACGATGCTCTTTATTTTGGGAAATTTCTCATTCTTGTTCGTTTTTTGGATGTCACGCAAGTTCACCCCGCTCTTGGAGTGAGCGTTACGTGACATCCCAGAGAACGGCTGCAAAGGAGAATGGTCTACGTGACGGTGTTCACGAAACGCAAGTGGAATAGAGGTAATTTTTAGAAATTAAGGGATGAAGAGGCTCAGATCTTCTGTTATTTTCCTGCTTTTTTTTCAGTTCTGTCGTGTGGATCCAAGGGTGGACACTTCATGGCAACAACTCAAATCTGCGGTTAAGGTTTGTTATGTAAGATTTTTACTGAGACCTTATCCACTAGTGCTGACTTGTAGCTTCTATTTCTTAGCTAAAGTTATAATTCTACGTCTGTCCGTGTGCATGTCTAAAGTCTGTACTGAAATTTTAGAGGAAAACAATTTAAGTTGTCAAAAGTGTCTCAACTCTGTTTCATTCATTTTTGCTAGAAGTTTAAATTATGTCCGACCTATGGCCACGTGGGCTGTACGGTCCACCACACACGCGTATACAAAACTTAAGTTCCCACGCGCCTAGAAATGAGGTGTTTCTCCTGCTTTCATATTTACTTTATACTTAAACTGTCTTGCTCTTACAGACTGATGGAGTTCATGCAGAGGACAAAACAAAGTCAGGCAGTCAGAGCCAAGGCAAGAGAATTGTAAAATTTCCGTGTAGGAATTGAACGATGTAACTTTGTAAATTATGAGCAATTTTCTTCTTTCAGAATCCTTGTCTGAAGCAGTGAAGATTTTGAAGGTTGGTTACCTCGTTAAAGCTATCCAGGAACATAAAATGGACCAGGCCATTATTTTCTGTCGCACAAAACTGGATTGTGATAATGTGGAAAGATATTTGATAGACTTGGGCGGAGGTGAGTGAATTCCTTTTATTTATTTCAAACTCTCGTGCATGCGTAGATTTTGACCGCTGTGTTACCTATTTTACTCCTTACCTCCGTCTGTTTGGCTTGCGAGCAGACTCTCGTGTCGGGTCATGCCTTAAACCCCCCCCCCCCCCTCAGTTTTTGCACGCACAGCTGCCTATTAACTCTTTAACTCCCAAGATCTCATTAGTAATTCTCCTTACTGTCTGCCGTACGACTCTTGTGATGTTAATTTGGAGAATTTGGTATTGGATCAACTTGTAATCCCCTTATTGATATTTTTCTTCATTCTCTTCACTTGTCTGCTTGATATTGTAAGGAGAAATTCTATCTTGGTCACTCATGGGAGTTAGAGGGTTAAACAATTGACAGCAGCCTATGGAAAAAGTTATTGAAACCCCAGCTTTTTACGTATCGTTGTTGTGTAGACATTGACAGCGTGGTAACTAATTATTTTGCTATGATTTTAGAGTTACTGTGGTTTTTTCCTTGAAAGCTCAAGTTTTGATTCGTTTTTCTGTGAAGCCTGTTCCAGGCGTTTAGTCAGCACAGGGGGTATAACTGCAACACAAAGTGAAATAGGAGGGAGATAATCACGACCCGTTCCCAATCCCCTTCTCTTTACTCGACTCTTCGACTCCTTATTCGCCTGAAAAAGGCTTGTTGTTGATGTTATTTTTAAGCACAAAAAAGTTGTTGTTGTTGTTGTTTGACAAGAGGTTGTTTCAGCGTCTTGCTTACCGAGTCTCTCCATTCTTACTCAGGTCCAAATGCCATGGTCAACGAGTATTCATGTGTGTGTCTCCATAGTGACCGACCTCCAAAGGAAAGAAAGGCAAACTTAGAGTCGTTCAAGGTAACAGAAGCCGATTAGAAAAGATGAAATACAGAGTTGATTTTTTGGATTCCTCAATTAAAGGGCCATTGGGTATGGCGTATTTGAATTTTTAATTACTTTTTACGCGTAGGATGGCGAGGCAAGATTCCTTATCTGCACTGACGTGGCAGCGAGGGGTATCGATGTATCTGGTGTACCTTTTGGTAAGAATATAATGTCCCATCAATTCTAAATACCTCTATTTTGTTGTTTTTGTCATGTTGTTCTTGGTTTGTTTATTTGTTTGTTTTTGTCTCTTCTGTCAGTCGTGAATGTGACATTTCCAGACGATAAACAAAACTACGTGCATAGAATTGGAAGAGTAGGAAGAGCACAAAGGTAAGTTAAAACTAAGTAAGTTAAGACTAACAATCGGTTGGAAACATCTCTTGCATTCGATATCAGGCGAGCTTCGTGCCTATTACCTCCCAGTTAGAGACGAACTGGGAAGGAAGGGGATAGTGCTGATGGAATTAGAGCGCTCAGAACAGTTAAGATGAATCTGTTATGAACAGATATGGTGTGAAGGCGGTACAGCTTTGTGGTTCAAGGGGTTTAATCGCAGTCTAAGGTTCAAATCCATACTGTTTCCAGTTTATCTCCGCTGCTTGTTTTCCTCCCACTAGTGAAGACTTGTCCATCCATACATGAGCCGATCAGTCAGTAAGTCAGCTAATTAGGTAAGTAGTCAGGCAGTCAGTCGGGCACGAAGGCCGACAGTCAGGCAGGTAGTCAGGTACTAAGGCCGGCAGTCAGGCAGGTAGTCAGGTACGAAGGCCGACAGTCAGGCAGGTAGTCAGGTACGAAGGCCGACAGTCAGGCAGGTAGTCAGGTACGAAGGCCGACAGTCAGGCAGGTAGTCAGGTACGAAGGCCGACAGTCAGGCAGGTAGTCAGGTACTAAGGCCGGCAGTCAGGCAGGTAGTCAGGTACGAAGGCCGACAGTCAGGCAGGTAGTCAGGTACGAAGGCCGACAGTCAGGCAGGTAGTCAGGTACGAAGGCCGACAGTCAGGCAGGTAGTCAGGTACGAAGGCCGGCAGTCAGGCAGGCAGTCGAGCAGACAGTCAGTTACCTTTGAGCCAACTGTTTTGACGTACTGTGTAAACCTTTCTCCTTGATTCTGCTACTTCTAACATGGAGACTTGAACCTAGCCTTTTTTTTTTGTCTTGTAGGATGGGTCTGGCCATTTCACTAGTCTCAGAAGTTAAAGAAAAGGTAGTAATATGCTTGCTACTGAATTATTCATGTAACATGGGAATTAGTTTTTAAAAATGTGCGCCATCGGCAGACAGTTTATGTCATATTTTTCTACTAATAGTAGCAAAAAATTTGGGCACGATCGGGTTGGTGACTGTGACCAGGTTATTTGTTGAATCCTTGTTCGCGTGCTCTCCAGGTATGGTATCACACTTGTCCCAATCGTGGTAAAGGATGCTCTGACACACGGCTTAGGGATCATGGGGGCTGTGCAATATGGTACGACGAGAAAGAGGTAAATATTAATACAGTCTTTTCGCACATCTCAACTTGGTTTTACACCATTTCCGCTTAGAGGGTGACGCCTTTGACCTCTTCACTTGTACAGGACGACGTAGTGTTCTTATCAATGATCTCAAAGACGGAACGCTTGCTAGGAGGCCAACTACGTGTCACTTCGATTGAGAAATTTAGAGAGCATAGAGTATCTAACCTCTCAAACTATGAGGCGAGCGGCTAGCCACTGGCTAAATTTTGGTTGTGAGAATCCGGACAAACCCCGGCCCATAATGCAATTGTGTCTGTTATCTTCTCTTATTTTCGTGGGGGTCTTCTCTGTCACTCTTTCGCCCATCCTGTTCTCTCTCCTAAGACCGTGAGCAAACCCATCCCCGTGGGTCTCTCTGCACTAGTTCCTTATTCAACATACTGCTCCTCCATTTGTGATTAAGTCAAGCGCTATACAATTGTAATTCTGTGTACCTATAATTTTTTACCATTGATTACCGGAAGTCAGTAAAACTTACACAGCAGGAATCTGGAGCCCTGCTCAGTGAACCGAAACTCTGGTCCGAAAGGAGTTTGTATTAGGTCAATAAGTTTGAAAAAATGTAGAAGAACGAAAAAGAAAATATATGCGCATTTCTCGGTCGCTCTTACTAACGAGGCAATTCTCTTTCTGAACAGTCTGGTATCGACACGAGTGTCAGTTTTGAGTGTTCGTTTAGGTATTTGTGAGACAGAAATTTACTTAAGGGTGGGATAGCGTTCTATCTTTGCCACAGCTGAGATGATTGCCTTAGGGTGGCTAGCAGGGGTAAACCCTTCACTTGGATGGCGTAATATTTCTTTTGGGGGTGATAATCTCTTTTTTTTTTTTAGTTTTAATAGACACTTTTATTTTTCTTCGGCATAGTATCTCGCGGACGTGGAGGATCATCTAAAAGAGACGATCTCTTGTATTGAACCCAACATGAAAGTTCCTCATAACGAGTTTGATGGTAAAGTAACTTACGGCAAGAAACGCCGTGCAGCGGGTAAGTGTCATCTTTAATAATTTCTTTTGTAACACACGTTCTTAAATTTCAACGTGCTTATAGGGTGAGAGCAGATCAGTTTATTCTCACCGCGGGCTCAGAGCGATTTTTCTTAGTTAAAAAAAATTCCAAGTGGTTCCCTTGGTACCGCAAACTATAGGCCATTACTGCGATGTCTAAAGCTTCTTGTCTTAAAACGAAGCAAGAGCGAAGCTTTTGATTTGGATATTAATTTTCATCCCTACACACGTGAAACTAATTTTCCGCAAGAAATATGCAGAAAGATGTCATTTGTTGCTATTCGTTTGCTAGGATTCATCTTTGAGTCGCACACCGCTGAACTTGCGCCCTCAGTTAGGGAACTGGCAGAAATGGAGTACAAGGCGCAGACGTCCTTTTTAACTTTACAGCACAAACAGTGGATGAAACACTAAGATACTCTGATGATTAGTCTACGAAACACTGCCTGAGATACACTGTGTTTGCCTTGAAGTACTCCCCACTTCAGTTGTACTTAAAAATACATGGAGTGTTCAAGTTGGGGAAAGTTTGAATCGCACAGCTCGAAATTAACCAGAGGAAAATAGAGACATTTCATACAAAGCTTGAAATACTTAAAAAAAATTAAAATACTTCAAATACACCACAGTTTATCTGGAAACCTACCCCCCTTTATCGATAGAGCTTAAAATACTTCTTTGGGAAGTCTGATTTGAGATCACAGCGGAGAAACTGTTGACATTGGCCTTGTGATATAGCGTAGTGTTGAATCTCGCAAAGCAGGTTTTACTGGTCAAAAAAAACTTGCCAGACTGACTCTTTCTCTTCCTATGGAAATGTTTCGATTAGAATCAAGATGATATGAAGAACTGCCTTCTTCCTCTAAGAAAAATTATATATTTAAGGGTTGGATGAGGTTTCGTTTCCGTATCATTCGTACGAAAACAAAATTCAAATAAAGTTATTGTCGGATGATGCTGTCATTTGCCTTCATTCATGTTTTCAAATGAGCAAAAAAAACTCTGAATGTTCAACTAAAAAAGCTTTACTGCGAATGTGTCAACATGAAGTCCCTTTCCCTTTCCCAACGTACCATGATCTCTCAAGGGCGTAGCCAGGATTTTTTAGAAGGGGGAGGGCCTCACTATGTCAAACGGAGGTACTCACCAGTTTCGCCACTTAAGTGTTGAAAGTTTGTTTCTTAAAAAAAGGCTTAAAGAGGGCGGGTTGAGGGGACCCCAGGATCCCCTCCCCCCAGCTACGCCTCTGTCTTCGAATGATAACTTTACTCCACATTTACCTGAATAACTTTTATTTGAGTCAGCGTCCCACCGAGGGCTTGTTTTGACTTTTTAATGTCACAATTTGAATGATTAGGGACCTTACACAGTTATGACGACGACTCTGAGGAAAACATCGATTCAGAAATTCGCTTACATTTGTGCTAAGATTTCCCGCTGGTTTGATACCTTGACTGCCTTTTTGGGCATCCAGCGTAACATGATAGTGTCGTGGAGTTCCGGGCAGAAACGATGACAATTTCCTTTCGGAGTTCCTGCCCTCGGACTACGCATTGTTATCGAGTGATTTCACATTAATTTTTCGCGGAGGACAGCTGAGGAATTTAAATAAGTTATACGCAACGGCCAAGCAGTAATTCTACCCTTTTACAGTCTTGTTTCTTATTTTAACCATGTTCTGAACGCAGCTGTCGTACTAGTTTGCGTAAGGCCCCTAGAATAACGATTTTGTGGCCGCCTGCAATTTTCTGTATAGAAAACTTAGAAGTGTTAGAGGCCTATAATGCGTGATCCTAATTCACATATTAAGGCGATTAAACACACGTTCCGCTGGCTGTGAATGAATTGGAAATACATTATACTGTACTTAGCAACGCTTGGTACAATATTTAAATTTCTCGTTCATTCTGCAGCGCGCCTGTGCCCACATTTATCTCTCAAACACTCTCACCGGTCTCTAACCTAATTAATTCTTTTTTACGTAAATGCCCAATATAACCAAACCACAAAATGTTTATTTTGTTCGAGAGTTCTGCTCACTAGGACTAAACAATGTTTAAATTTTGCAATCCTGTTGTGTCTCCCTCTATGTGGGAGAATAGATAAATGCAAATTTTCCGTTTACCATCACTACATTATCGAAAACAATGTTTATACAGAGTTTTTACTTCACCGTTGATTATTTGCATAATTTTTATCGGCACAAATACCCAGGTTAGCTCATTACGCGTTTTAAGTCCGCACGATGTTGTTTAAAATGCTAAACTGACCACCTAACAGTCGATACATTGGCGTCAAAGTGCGCCAGAGTTAGTTTTATTCTTCTTCCGGTTGTAGTCCGCGCCTCAAAAACGAACCGCTCAAGTTCTCTAGCCACGAAACTAATATTCTCAATACTGTGAAACACTGCATTTTGCTGTGAAAATATTCCTAAGCGATCCTAGTTATGTAGGCGAAGGAAAAAGTGATTATAAAGTTTTGAAAGCCGTATAATACAGTCCTCCCACCAAAATTTCCCACGAAAGCGCTCGATAAAGACCGTCCATGGAAGTGAAGTATGTCACGCAATTGACTATTAGTCTTGTTCTACAAGTGCAATTCTCGCCATTCTTTTCTAATTTTTCTTCTCTGTCCACTAATTTCTTCTTTTTTTTCCCGTATTGAACTAAATTTGGGTATCTTTTGAACTAAAAGTGATGCCAAGGGAGCTTGAATGAAACGTGACACTGAAACGTGAATGTACCGTGACATAGATTGATATTTACATAAACATATTCTGGCGTGGCGTTACGCAATGATAAAGACTTTCGACTTCCGCAAATACCTTTCACATTCAAATTAGGTTCGCACCGAAATGGACGCGAGAAGCAGAGCGGCGGCTGCTTTACTGTTAGATTTCCTTGAACGATCCGAGAACGACGAGGGAGACTTTGAAGGAGACTTTGATCAGGAATTAAGCGACGATCTCGATGATCGTAGCAGCGACGAAGAAGAACAAGCCCGGCCAACGTTTGGAGGCTATGAATACGAATTTATAGATAACGTTTTGGACAATCAAATATGTCCGGTGTGCCTTTTGCCTATGAGAGACGCTGTCCAAACTAAAGAGTGCGGCCATCGATTCTGTAAAGATTGCTTACACGGGATTCTAAGGTTTGTCTTCAGCAGGATGGTTCGCACCTTTAAGTAACGACAACCTTCTTCGACAGAGAATCGTTAAGACTCGTTACAAGGAAGTACAGCGCTGCGATTTTTGTATCAACTTTCATGGCGGACAAAACAATAAGTGATTTTACTTTCTTTCCTTTTCTGTACATTTTAGGCAAGTAGGCTTTGAATAACATGGCGAGTGCTGTGTTTGTTCATTTAAAAAAAAATTGTTGGCAAGCTGTTTACGTTTTCGTGCAAGGACCAATTCTTTGACGCAATATTTTCATTCGCGAAAAGTTTCAATGCAGAAGTGCGGCGCGGGCTGATGAGGAGATGTGAATTTCCGCACACAAATTTATGTCGTTGAGGTAAATCCACTCGAGGTCGAGAACTCAATTAATGGCCTAGTTTAGCGCTATACACTTGAAAAACATAGCAAAAAAATCCTTTCTTCCATTTTAATGAGATTCATTCCATGTGTTTTTGTGTCGGCGATGCCACAAAGCATCGATTTACGTACTTCCGGTAAGGAAAACCGCTTACCTGGCTCTTTCTCTATCATGTTTAAACGTAACACGGAAAAGTCCAGATAAGAAATCGCTGAGAATGTTTTTCGTAATATAACATTATTTCGCTAAAACTTGACAATGTGATATCCTTTAGATTTTTTCAGAAAAGGCTATGAAAACCTTTTAGAAAACGCGTTCTAAAATATATTTACTCTTTCGTAAACGGCCAAAGGATGCAAGATGTTTAAGAGAATGGTTCGAGATCGAAATACGTCATTGTACCCAGGTTTACCCACTTATAAATATGATTTTATTGCGTTCACAAAATATGTTTTACACCGTTAAGTGACACATTTCTCTGCACTGTTTTCTCCCTCGGTTTCATAAAACGTGCACGAGAAATTGACGAAAATGCATTGATTATACTGCGCCTTTTCCCACAACAAGTAATACCTTGTCCACGACCTTAAGTTTCATGATAAAATAGTTTCTATTAAATTATTTTATTCACAATATATTTAATAACTGTGTAATCACTCTAATATCACACGTAAACAAAAGCGATTTCAAGGACATATTCAGCAATATCTTCAGCATATTCAATAATTTCGTGAGAGTTTCGTAATAAGTTTATTCACATGCCCCAGTGTCTTATTCCGGTGTGTTTCTGTTCTCGCTCCACAGAAGTAACCATCCAGTTTGTCCGAATGACAGGCAGAACATCAAACGAAAGGGCGGGGTAAGTGAAATTATTTTGAGCTATTCTCCGACTGATGGCTACACAAAATGTCAGCTTTCTTTTCTACATTATTCAACAACGGTTAGAGTACATTCATGAATCCTATTCTTACGGAAAGTTAAACTCAAGAGAGGAAATACGTAGATTTCAGTTTAAGTGTTCAGCTAGGGTATATTTTTTATTCATAATTATTTTATCATAGCTCTATGAAAAAGGTAAACCTTCTGATTTTAGTAACACGAGTTTGTATGAGGAAACCTTTTTTTATTTTACGAAAACAGGCAAAACTGATGGGGAATTACTTTATTATACCGAAAAGGAATTTAGACCACTTATGTCCAGCAGTGTACGCAATGACAAAAATGGCAGATTTGAAGAAATTTCGTCAAAGTGAGGGAATGTTCATGGATTCGACGATTTTGGCGAGTTTTAGTCAAATTCATCAAAACGAAATCAGCTTGGCGGATCAGACGATTTTGACAAATTTTCGCCATTTTCGTTACTGCATGTATTTCCGGACATATCTCATTTAGACAAGGGAACTTTTTAACCTCAAGGAAAATGTTTAATCCCGAGGGAAAATGAAACCGCCAGCGGGAACTTTTTAATCCCTATGCAAACAAAACCAATTGGGGGAAATGTACCACCCTAACCAAAAACGAAACTGCCAGGGACAGGGAAAGGGGAATTTTTATTTCTGAGAACAAAATGACACTGAAAGGAAGACTTATATGTCCTAACGGAAAATGAAACCACAGGGAAAATTGTTTACCTCAACGTAAAGAAAAACTGTGGGAGGAAATGATTAATCTCTACAACAAGGGAGACTGTTGAAGTAAAACTTATCACAGCATGATACTGAAGTGTAAACTCAAAGGTAAGTAATCATTATTTATCGACTGAAGGGGTGGGGGTATTTTGGTTGTCACACTTACTATTTACGTTATCCCCCACAAGGCTCTGTAGTATGCTAAAAACCTTCTAATGATTCCGCCTCATTGGCAGTCAATTTTAACAAAAAAAACCTCCGACCCCAGCCCCTCTCCCACTCCGGCGATAAATGACGACTGGTTATTAATTCTTCTCGGTTTTTTTTTTAGTTTTTTTCAGACAAAGCCTGGGCTAGGGATATTTTGTGCCTCCGAGTAAAATGCAAACAGAGCGCCACAGGATGTGGCTGGATTGGTCAACTGCGACACGCGGAGGTGAGCGGACTTTTTTTTTAACTGGCATATAGTACTGTACTTTCTTGTTTTGTTTATACCTCTTGTTAGTTTTTTTTCTCTGGACAAAACATTTCCAGTAGAGGATGAATCCTCACCCGGGAAACCTCACAAAAACTTGGGGCTCTTTTTGACTGAGTGTCGTAAAACCAACGTGTAATAATCATCACTACCAATCACAATATAAATCACATGGAACTAATCAAAACTAAAAGTGAGAACAAACTAACCGCCCAAAGAGGGGGAAACGCGAAAGACCAAACCGCGATCAACTACAGTCTTATATCTGATTGGTAGAGCAGGATGCTTCAGTTTCGTGGACCAATCACAGAGCATATTGTAGCAAAGCCAATCCAATCCCGAACTTTGTGACACGCAGTTGGGCACACTGTCCTGTTTTTGCATTTTTGACTTTTCTTAGGACCACCAAAAGACCTGCCCCTATGTAGAAGAGCAGTGCCGCGATTGTGAAGCAAACATACAGAGAAGACACCTTAATACTCATTACAAGGAGGAGTGCCCAAAGAGATTAGTGGAATGTGTGCACTGTCAAAAAAAGTACCGTTTCATGGAAAAAACTGTAAGTATCATAGTGAAGGCTCATTTTTTAGAACAATCCACAATGGATCACATACACTTTTCACAGACAACTTAGAGACTGAATGAAAATTCTTTGTCTTTCTTTGTAATAAATCGCATTTTATACCGTCACACGATAGAACGTTGAGAACGGACAGGTTGGAAAAAACCCAACGTAAGCAAATAACAAAGAAATAAGTGACTCATAAGTTTTCTTATGAGTCACCTTTCGAAAATACACTTCCTCTCACTAACTCGTATTCGTGATTTCAAATACCTTTTTTTTCTATGATTGCTTTTTTTGGCGGACAGTTTTGAGCTGTGTTACTTTTATTCTCTCAATCCAGGTACACGAGGACTTTTATTGTAGCCGTTACCCTCTCAGCTGCACCAATAATTGTGGAGCCTTGCAAATACCACGAGAAGAGGTACAGTGAGAAAACTTTTTACCTCTCAACACATCGTATCTTTGTAAAAGGAAAACTAAAAAGGCGTTTATGGTGTAGTTCATAGCCATTCTATTCTGATAAAATAAGTCTACTGAGATCAAAGTTTTGCTGTGGTTGGTTATTTCCCACGCCCAAAAATGTAAATCTATGAATCACTGAGAAACAACACTGGCACTGTAGTGCTCCGTGTTGTGCTGTACGTCTCTCTCACATCCCCCGAAAAAGATTTGCTGGTGGACTCCAGCTTTACCAAATTCTGCTTGATACAAAGCTATCTCTCCGAACAAAAACCAAACAATGCTTCAAATATCTTAACATCAACCATTTTTTCAGCTTTTTTCTCCTTACTTCCTCAGCTGGAAAGGCACATTTCCGAACAATGCCCGTTGACTGAAGTGACCTGCCCCTATGCCAAGGCCGGGTGTCCTTATAAGGTACATGATATGTACGAAGTGTAGTCATTAGTACTATAAACTGTAATGTTTCGATGGAAAGCGGCTGCTTGCGAATTTTACTTAACTGACATTTCGTCCTCCTTTTCACTAACAAAGCAATTCAGAGCAAACCAACCTTTGCGGGTAACAGTTTTACCTTGCCTGATTTATCTTTCGGGTTTTAACAATGAAATAGAGACGTGTTGGCATATCTATCACATCTCCTCAAAGCTTCAGCTATAAAAGTCGCTATGGCAGTTAAGTTCCTTTTAACAAACTTACTTGTTACTTTTCAACAAGCCACTAAAGATAAGAATATTTCACGGTTTACCTCGATGCAAGAACCTGTCAAGATTTTCTTTTTTTTTTTTTGTCATTATCAATTCCTAAGCTCCTTTTGTTTTGTTTTCTTTGTTTTGCTTCACTCCAAAACGTAAAAGGTTCTTACACCGAGAATGATACACATCTCTTTAGCCACGCCCAGAGAACACTAGAAATTCGTGTTACACTTGATCATATTTCGGCTAATCTTAATAATCTTTCCTAAAGATGGGATTTAAAGGTATTTTTTTGGCCCCATCGCTGCCCTATTACATAAAGGTGATTTCCAAGTAAGACAACGACAGTGTCAAACAACTTGGGATAAACTCTTCTAACCCTTTAATTCCCACGATCTCATTAGTAATTCTCCTTACTGTCTGCAAATGATTCTTATAATGTTAGTTTGGAGAATTTGGTATCGGATCAATTAGCAATCCCATAATTGATATTTTTCTTTATTCTCATCGCTTGTCCGCATGATACTGTATACATGTAGTAAGGAGAAATCCTATCCTGGTCACTCACGGGAGTTCAAGAGATAAAGCAATCCGTTTTCAAGTTTATTTTAATTCTGGGCATCCTCGTCTCTCTTCGGCTTTCCTTTCTTCCTTCTGTAAAATTCCATCGATGTACAATTCAGCCTTTAAAAAAATCCCTCAAAACGAGACTAGGGGGAATAAACTATTGTGTTTGACAGGCTCGTTCCCATGGCTGCGGAACGATGTATCATGTTTTATGATAATTTCTAAAATCACGAAATTGGAGTATTCTACGATCCAGGGTAATTTAATATTATCAAATGAGTTGATAAAGTACCGTCATTCGCTCTGACGAAGGGCTAACGCTCGAAACGTCGGCTTTCAAACTCTTTACGGAGGCCAATTTACGTTATCAACTCAGTTGATAATACTAAATTACCCTGTTATACTCTTCCACCGACGCAGCACCGCAGTTTCTTTAGAAACGTACCCCCCTGTAGTCTTCAGCCGTATGACCTCACCCCTCAAGTGATATCGCTATCACCATGGCAGTTGTGGATATCACTTGCTTATTCATTGACAGGATAAGAGAGTTCACCTGAGCAGACACATGGAGACCAGCGTGGATAATCACTTGTGGCTGACATGGTACTCGCTCGTGGAAACAAAACAAGAGCTTGGCAATCTGAAAGATCTGCGGCAGAAATATATCAAGGTTCAGTTTGTGAACGAGAGGCTGACACAGTCCTCTGCTGAGTTCGTTGGAGAGATCCGCGATTTATCGGCAGCTGTTAAACGATTGGAAGCACAAAACGCCAAACAAGTGAAGCAGATCGAAGACTTGACCAGAAAGCTTGAAAAAGTTCAAAAGCCTGGCAAATCTTACTCATCAAGGAAAAGCGCGCTTAATAATTCCTACTGAATTTAGTAACAAAAAATAACGAAGCAATCTCAAAGACCGATTAGATCAAAGGAGAAGTCACAATTGGGAGCATATCAGTGATAACTCGGGGTTTCAGTTACTTTACATACTATGAGAGGTTGAAACACTCACCCCTTACTCCCGCCTTGTATTTGAAAAAAAAATTTCAAGATATGGTCTTGAGCGCTTTTCCCGCTGACGAAAAGTAGCTTCCATTTAAACTGTTTACACTACGCTGCAAGTTGAAGTCAGCGATGGCAGTCAAACTGTTTCCGCTTTCAAACCCCTGGGGAAAATCATTTTAGTACGTCATACTGTTCTATAGAGGGCCCAGCAGGGCGAGAGACCTTCAGGCGCTAAAAAATATTAACGGAGTTTGTCGTTTAAAGTTTTCATTACATATCACTGACCGACCTGGATTTCTCTTCAATTGGGAAAGCTTCCTACCCTCCCCACCCAGACTTTGATGTAGTTTAATATGGTGTGATGTTTTCCTTGGGGTGATATAGTCAATTGGATGTACGAAGACATCAACTGAGTTCTCGAAAATAGTGAAATATTGCGTGTAAATGTTCCACTTCAAAGGTCATAGTAACCTAGCATTAATATAGCTTGTAATGCAAATGTTCAAAGACTAGTTCTGATTCGTAACGAGCGAGTATCATTGAGGTTAATTTGACAGGATGGATCAGCCATTCTGGCTGGTTTTAATGCGAGAAGGAAAATTTTCTACTGGCTCTTTATAGCAATTATTCATTTTTTCTCAAGTTTTTCTTGCTTGTAAACATGAAGTTATGATTAAAACTTTGCTTTAATTTCTCAGTCATCAGAATATTGGTGTCTAAACACTTGATCAAACTCTGTTTTCACTGTTCCGTTGGGTCTTGAGCTGTTAGGACCAACGGTTTCAACGGCAACCAGTTTAGGTGGAGGCAATTGAATTTTTGCCATTAGAACACTTTTCCAGCCATCTGTAAACGATAAACGATCGCGAGCTTGTAACGTCTGTGAACTCACCCTAATAATACGCATGCTTTGCAGGCCAACTACATAAATTTTTTTCAACTTTTTTTTTCACTCATAGGAAACCTGGCATTGATCTTAAAGATGTACATGATTTTTCTACATCGCCAAAATTTCCCCCTTCTGAATTTTATTAAGTCTTACATCTTGCTGGCTTTCCAGCACTGGTAGACTGAGCACAAATCCCTTTTCTCGCGGTCCTGAAACTCACATCCCATGTCTTTGTGTATGTATAGTTTGCAACCTTTAAACTCCTATACTCCGGAGTCTTTCCTACACATGATTTATTCCATAGTCTGCTCCAGGCTCTCAGTCGGTGTAGACGGGCAAAGAGCAGACACGTGAAAAATGGCAATTCAAACAGGACGCAAAAATGAAGATAATAATATCTTTTGAGATATTTCCGCGATAAAGTGATCACTTTGAAAAGAAACTTAATCCGACAGGCGTTGACAGAAAAGGTCGATTGAACCAAAGATGATTATTCTGACAGAATTAGTGATTAACCTCGCGCAAAAATTGCAAACATTTTCCAGGATCTAAGAATTTTGATAAAAAATGGGACTCCGTTTACCCAAAACCGGATTTCTCTCCGAAAAAAAAACTTTTATGACTATATTAATGTGAGCTTATAAAGGCCTCTGTTACTTAGGTTCTTTATAGGATTACGCACTCCTGACGAAAACGGACCATTTAGATAACAAATATGAATAACTCACCATTAGGATGATTTCATAAAAATTCAAAAGCTTTATTTACTTGGTGAAAAAGATAAACAGTCATCATTGGATGACCTTGACATTCACCCGCTTACGTGTTTGTTGATATTCCTTACAAAAACTTTGCGTAGAAATGATTATTCCATTAGGATAAACGAATGTTCCATCATTTGGTTAACAATGTTCCAGATATAAATGATAAGCAATTACATCTCTGGTAATAAATCTATCTCTGCGGGATCGAATGAAATCGTTGAAAATTTTGTATTTCCATCACATAATTCTCATACGAGTTGTGGCAAACAGCATCAAGACAAATCTATTAACTATAGGAAGTGGTTATGGTGAGAATCTCGTCATGATATTGGATAGGCTGTTAAAACACCGACAGGCAGTTAGAAATAAATCTACATCCTGACATCGATTCGAATGTTTAAAATTTTTCTACATCTGTACTTCCGTCTTAAAAACTAAATGATGTTTTGAAAAGTGTTCTGAATTCGTCTTCTTTTAGGTAAAAGACCACAAGACAGAGCGGTCAGATATGAAAATCTTTTACAGTTTACCAAACCTTGCACAGACCTGACATAGTTTGTTAACTTCTAAGCAGGCAAGGTCATGATAATTCTATCCAAAAAACTGACGCCAAAAAGCGACAATCTCCGTCTCTTTGTCAGTTCTTTGAATTTTTTTTCCAGGACGCTTCCCATAGAGAGCTTCTTCCCATGGTGTTCCTTGAAGAGTTGATTCCCCGCTTAGCGGGAATGAAGCAGTAAATGACTGATTATCGGTTCGCGCAATGCAATGATGTTTTATCTTTAGTTGGCTTCTTGTTGTCGTGACCTTATTTTCTTCAGAGGAGACAGAAATCGACGCCGGTGAAAGCGCGCGAGACATTCGCTGAACTGATTCAAATGGTTCACTTGCTGTCTGAATTTCTGAGCCTTGTTCTTCGCCTGACTCCGAAGCTGTGCTTGGGCTAACACTTCTCTGTGATTCCAAAATGTTCCTTGGAACGTCAAGTCGTTCCATTCCGGAAGTCCACATTGACCAAAAATATCAGTGACAGTCCAGATGACACTTCTTGAAACTGGATAAAATCTGAAAAGAGAAGAAAACTCCTTACCCAGGAACGAAGACTGCACAGTTTATAAACAGTATGTTTGTCGGAAAAACTCGTACGTGCTCTGAATTTCAATGCTTACTTAGGTGAAAAGCACTAAAAGCTATTTAATTAAGTCAGAGAAATTAATTTAGCACCTCTTTGTAGTGATCGGCCAGGAATCGGCATGCTTGATTAAATTAAGCCTGTTTTGTCTCAGAAGACCGAACAAGACTGAATGAAACAACTCATCCTCTTTCCTTTCTATTGTTTTTGGCAGCTATTACTAACAAAGAAAACCTAAAAACTCAGGGATTACTTATGAAAACACCACTTCGATCCCGAATATTCTAGCTGTCTAAAATGGTTCACTACCAAGCTAATGACGCAACTGCATTGCACAACTGTCTTCGCTTATGCTGAGAAGGTTCATGTGAATGGACGAATTTATAACAACCCAGTGCAAAGCTTACCGATTCTAAGAGTCCTGTGTTCGGCCGCCGTTAGAACAGATTTAATTTATCATGAGTATGCATTGAGTTTCACCGTTGACTGAGTACGTGATTCGCGGCGGAACATAAACCCACACTTATACCTCTTACATTCAGCGGTTACATTTTTAATTAGCTCAAAATGAGTTGGTAAAAAATTGCTTTCACTAATTGAGCTTTTCTTTCAGTTTGTTTCCCCTGAGATGCGTTTCTCTTTCGAACACCTCCACATAAAACACCGACATTGTTACATTGTGAGTTCATAATCCGTTCATCAGTCATTTTTGTTGTAAATAAATCTTCTTTGAAGAATGAAAAGTTTGTTCACAGCTATACTGTTTTCTCTTAGATCACCTCCTAAAGTATTAGCGTAATAAGAAAGATTTGACGAAGGAAAACACAAACAAACAAAAAACGAAAAGGTCGATGGTCAGACGAAGATAAGGAATCAGATAACTAAGAAAGACTTTAATTTTATTAGAGTATTAAAAGTTTTCTTCAAGTCTCCGCTTTTGACGTAATGGAAAATCATATTTTTTTGCGAGAACGACAAATATTAAAACACCAGATAGCTTAAGGTGAACAGAAAATCCTTTCGTGCGACGCATAAGAACAGCAGCAGATTGCCACAAACTTCATGGATTCCGTGCAGAAATGCTTCCATTTTTTGATTGTGAAGAGCCAAAAATTAAACCATCCTAAACAGTTAATTGTAACAGAAATTGAAATACATGACAAAAAGTATCATTAACTGATGTTAAAACCCTCTCGCGGTTTTATCAATTTTACCATCAAAAACTAAAATTTTCGAAGTATAAAGAATCGGAAAAACAAAATTTTGAAAAAGGAAATTGCTGCATGAAATCCTTCAAATCCTCCTTATCTTCTAAAGCAAAGAATAATTAAAGAAGGCGAAGTAATTTCATTGAAAAAGTAAAAACAAAGTATGTTGATGTTTCATACAAAGAAAAATTCTTCCTTATCACTTCGTTAACATATTTTTGAGGAGTTTATAAACTCTACGCTATCATTTTATAAATTCCAATCCGGTACCTTTTTACTTCGTGTGCCGAAGGCCCTAATTTTCACAGAGAAAAGTAGACTTATTTCTTTTCAAAACTCAGTCTCTCCTGATTACGAACGGATCATTAATGCTTTCGTCTTTTGGTCTGACGGTCAGACAAAAGTGAAACCATTTCAGACAGTTTATTCAGACGTTCACAATTATTCGTTAAGTCGCTCTAGCCAGAATTAATTATTATGTATCAATAAATTTCCCTCACGAGCGAGGTTATTCGGCAAGACGGCCGTAAAAACTATTGTCAGAACTTAATTGTGAGTTTATTAATTTCCCTATCGAATTCTTTGGAAGAAGAAAAAACTATTAGTTAATTTTACCAGCTTCTGGGATCGGGTGCATGCACTAAACTAGTTTTGGTAGCTTTGAATTTACAGTCTTCACCTGAAATTCCATCTTAATTTGAGTTTTTGTTCTCCTCTCCTTTGAGGTATATTTCTGGTTGTTAAGCCAATTTTTTCAACGGAGTACACAAACTAAAGCTTCTCGTGAGAGAATGTCATAACTCATATCGTCATTTCCCTAAGACTCTCGACGATTCCCGACGAATTCGAGAACGATGTACGACGTGACCGAGGGTTGTAAAGACAAGAACGTGCTGAAAAGAAAAACCTAAGTCGGAAATTAAAAAGTCTCACAAAGTCCTCTCTTCTACCCCGTTTCGCGAAAAGTGATGACAGTTAAAAAAAAGTTGAAAAACAAATTCGTATTATTTCCTTCAGCATGAAACAAGCTGACAGCCCGGCATCACATGAAATAAGTTTTCACTCCGGCCCGTGAAATGTCACATGTTCATTAATATTTGACAGTAATGTCATCAACCTCCGGAGATGAAAATCTTGCGGTAAGTTTTCGCAAAACATTAATTTTGGATGAGAACGCGAGGAGATAAAATAAGGTTGTACCATAACAATTTACAAGAGGATGATATTTGTGCTGACAACTACACGAAATATGCACGTCACTTGGCGTAACTAAATTACAATACTAGATTGGGAGAAGTAAAATAGATTAAGCGAAGGAAACGACGCGAAGATTTCGTGAGTCTACGATATCTTGATGACACGGAAAAATAAACCAAAAATAACTAACGGTACCGTCGCAGAGCTAAGCGGAAATACATACGACATCAAATTTGTGCGCTAATTCGAAACGTCAAGTGACTGAGACATAGGTGCGAAGATAATCAACGAAACATATATAGGGGCACGAGTAGAGGAAGACCATACGAAATCGGGCTTTGTGTTCATATTGCATCTTCACCGACGAAACATCCTGTTCACGATTTTTAGTTGAGGGTTAGATATATATGGAAGAAAATAAACCAGTTTAAGTTTGATTTTAAAAGATTATAGATTACACGCTTTTCAGG